CAAGCAGCACCTGGCGCATAGAAACCAAAATGTTAGTGGTAACCCAAGGAAAACTATTGGAAAAGGAAAGCACAACAAAACTAGGAAAAAGTCCACCAAATCATTAAAAAGAAACAAAAAACAAAACAAAAACAAAACAGAAAAACAAAGGAAAATACATATAAAATCTGATTTAATAGCATTAGAAATTCCTTAGAATTGGAAATTTTTCTAAGATATAGTTATTGTTTTTATTATTATCATTATTATTATTATTATTATTATTATTACTGTTATTATTAAGAAGCAGATAAGCTATAGATAATAGGAGCATATAGATAATAAGAAACAAAGATTTATAAACGAAAGAGCTAATGGGTGAACTAAAACTGGTACTAGAATAAGTTATGTGAGCAATCAGCATAGCAATATTAAAAACTTAAGAAAGAAGAAGCAAACTGATGCACACACGGAAGAACAAGTTTTAATACTCTTCAGGTTCAAACTTAATTTTATGAGAAATGATTTTATTTGGTTCGAAAACTTACTTATCCTCTTATATATTTCATAAAATCAAAATTACCGGTGACGTGAGATCAGAAATGCATCAAAATTCGCCTCAGAGATTCAAGAAACACCCAACAAAAAGGTTCAACACCGTGGCAAATCGACATGTATGTGCATAACGAAATTAAGATAGAATTTTTCCGATATGATTCTAAACCAGATTACCAGCATGAAAATGACAAAACGAAACCAAGCCACAAAAGAATTAACCCACAAAACATCAGAATTTCCACCAATATCAACTGTTCACAATGGTCATAAATAAAAAGAAACAGATATGCTTGCCAAACCCAACAACAATTCTCCAAAATTAAGATAAACCCAGATCATGATTTGCATAGAAAGAAACCTTAAACTACTGATCAAACCCAGAAATTTCCAGAAATAACGCACACTGGCAGCAAAATTTAGCATAAAAAGAAAACAGTTGAAACACAATTAAAACAAATAGCGATGTGGAAAAGAGCTTAGAAGAAAAGGGGATTGAAAAGGAACCGACTAGTTTGGCATTGATGTTCTTGTTTCCAGTGCTGGCCATGACTAGTACTGCGAGTGTGAGTTGCAATTGAGAATCCGAGTGCAGAAATTGAAGGAGAAAGCGTATGCTGATTGTTGACGAAACACGTGCTGACCAGGAAGAAGGGAGGTTGGGAGGAGGCAGGCAAAGGATGAAGAAGGCGAAGGAAAGGATCCTCGACCAACCTGTTTTCCAAGGAAAGACGAAAGCGATGGGTAATTTCCTTAGAAAACTACTTGTATTCTGTCTACTATTCATAAATAAATAATTAAAATATATAAAAAAAAAACTCGTTTTTCATTTTTGTAGACAGAAAATAAAGTTGTAATATTTAATTTTTCTATATACTGTAGATGGTACACGTGTCAGAACGGCAGCCTTCTTCACAATTTCGACGTCACCTATCCATGATTTGATTTAAAAACTAGCATGAAAATTAAAAATTACTCCAATTGAATATTTATTTCACTGTTTATGTTACGATGGAAATCCTAATTTTGGCCACCTTTCCTCCCACGGAGTTGGTGGGTATATTTATAATTCTTCATTTAAAAATGAAAATTTGGTCCCATAACAAAAATATCTTTGTTCTCCTAAATATTCTAAGGACTGTGTGATATATAGTGATTAATATTTAGTTGGGAGAAGGACACCTATTAAATTTTATAATGTTGATCTTACTAAAAATAATTTTTCTAACTTTGTTAGTGTAAGAAAGATTTGAATATTTATGAAATATATGATTCAATTCTATCTTGAAGTGAGGAAGAAAGATGAATATGTCTGAATTAATAATAGTTGAAGATAAAGTATATTATTTCTATCTCAATGAGAATGTCTATTGGGATCTATTGGCTCATAAATATATAGGAGCAAGAATGAAAGAGTACCCCCCATTGATATTGAATTTTGATGGGGCAAGTTTTTTTCTATGTTATGTTAATAATAAAATTCAAGTTAAAAAGTTAGTTACATTTTCTGTAAGAATAAAAAATGAATTACTACCTAGTGTGCATTATAAGATGAGATGAGATCAATAGTCAAGATCATATGTGAACTTTATTGATTCTTTGATATAGCATAAATATATATAAATAAATATATTTTTAAGATTAATCACAAAAAACAAGACGATTAATAAATATAAACATGACTGATGACAAAAGGCTACACGAAAAATATGTAGTATTTGAAGAGATCTCTTTCTTTATTCTAGTTATTATTGCTTTAAAAGATTTTGAGCATTTTCAAATAAATACAAAAAAAAAAAAAAAAAACATATTTCTTAATAAGGAATTGGAAAAAAAATTCATAAGAATCAAATAGAGAGTTTGAGATCAGAGGACAACAATACAAATGTTCTATACTAAATATTTTATTAACTACTTCAATAAATTGTTTAAGTAGTATTATTTGTGATTTTACCACAGTTTACTTCATTTAGTCTTTACATATTAAAAAGATGGTTATTACATGTATATTAAATTATCTAATTAGAATATTTTTATTTCATTACTTTATGTTTTATGACATTTCACTAATTAAAAATAATTTGGATTGCATTCTTTCAACTAAGACATAGTGAAGCATATTATATGCTTAGCACTTGGAGTAAATATTGTTAAAAATCACAAGAAAATAGTTATATGTTTATCTCAACAAACTTATATTTATAACATTTTAAAGAGATCTTATACAAATAACTTCAAACTCGTTGACGCTTTAATGGTTAAGAGTTGTAACTTGAGCATAGGTCAACTCTTAAGGATCGAAGAAAAAGAGAATTGAATGTCCAAAGTTCTAATATGTAACAATATCGTAACTTAATTTATGAAATCTTTTGAAATACGCACTTTAACATTTTGTATATAGTCGAATGGTCAATCACCATTAATGTTTGGTATTTTTTTGTTTTAAAAGAGAATTAAAAGGACACCCTAATATCTTTATAAGACTACTAATATATTTTATATTACTATAAAGACGACTTAAAATTCAAAGATTATAATAATAATAATTGATATCATGTTTAAAGGCATAATGGCACAAATAGTGTTTGTATTTACATATATCTCTACCATATTGATAATATAATATTTATTCATTCGATAAAATTTGTTGTTGTACGGACATCTTTTTCTTATTAATATCTATGATATCATTTTTATTCATTTCATAAATTTTGAGTCAAATCATATTGATTATGTGTATTCAATGATTTGAGTACAACTCATTTTTTAAGTGATTAAAGAGTGTTTTAGTAAATATGCAATTTTAGTAGAGTATAAATTAATTTTATGTAATGTACAATATTAATAGTGCACTCTTTGTTCTCAAACACTTTTTATATGATATGTACATGAAGATAAATATAAGACGAACTAAAAGATTTTTTATTTATGTATTAATTAATAGTAGTTTAATAAATTCTTTAACTTTTTAGATTTTCAATACGTATATATTAGATGCACGGTGATGTATCGTTTTAAATGGATACAAGTCAATACGGATTGAAAATTTTAATCTCAATATTCTGATACCGATAACCGAATTACGTCGAGTTTAATCTAAAAAATCGAGTTTAGAGTATCCCTCGGTAACATAGAAATGAAAAGGGGAAAATGGGCATTTTAGATTCCCGGCCTACCCATCATATCATCATGCACCTCGTCTAGGAATATTAAAGAGAAAGGAAAAAAAAAAAGGCAACTTTAGTACACTCTTTGCTTTTTAGAGAATTTTACAGCCAAGCCTACCGATTTGCCCAATTATGGCCCCTCCTCCGCCTCTTTGTGAATTCTCATTATTAAAAATGAAGACAATTTATTTATTTATTATTTTAATTTTACGGCTTCTCTTGAGAATCCCGCGCAGGAGACGATGGTGTTGTCACCAGTAATAACAACAAAATGGCATTTTGGTAAATATAAGACTGTGGCAGAGATCCATTGACCGGTCGCCTTTGACCAGTTTCAGACAAGTACTGCTCACTGCAACCCTGCTCCTGCCTCTCTTTCTCTCTTATCACATTTCTAACACTCCCCTACCCCCTCCCTCACTTCTCCTTCCCCCGCGTCTCCCCCACGCTCCACCCGTAATAATACTCGTATACATGCATGTCGTCATCAACTGGTTATTACTCGGGAGACGGGGGTTAATCATATATAATTAACATGCATGCAAGAAGTTATAGTAAGGGAGATGGGAGTTATAGTATTATTGAATCTTATTATATGGGCAACAAATTAAATGGGGATTAATGATGAAAAATAAAGATAGCTGTTTATATATTACTCTTGTAATGAGATGCTTACATTAATATATATCTGCAAAATTATAGATATTAATTTAATATGGTGGGTGATGGATGGATGGATCATTTGGGAGGAGAGTGATTCTTGTGAGAAGCCAAAGCCATGATAGAATTAGCAAGCTTGTTAATGGCATCAACCAGACCATTAATACCTTGTCTGTTAATCTCAGTGTTAGATTCTTCAATCTTGAGTCTTCTTTCATGCAAACTTACAACTTCTCTGTGTCTTCTCTCTTCTCTCTCTTCACAAGCTTCAAGTGCTTCTGCTATAATGCTTGCACTTTTCCTTATGGCATTCCCCACTTCTTCACCACTACTGCTTCCTCCCCCATTGTAATCTCTTCTTGATCTTCTTCTTCTCTTTGCTCCTGATGTCTCTGAATCCTCACTTGTATCACAATCTGAATATTAATTGAACCAAATATTATCAACATTGTAATTACCAACAGTCACCTTATGAAATATCACCAGACCCAGAAGGCAAGAGATAAGAAATTTCAAAAAGACACTAATTAATTTACTAAAGAGTTGCCGCTGTTATTTTCTATAAAAGAAAATGTTTGCAGTGCATTCTGCCATATTGCAGAAGCTAGCGAGAGAAAAAGGCAAACCCATTTCCCATTGGGATACTACTATACTAGAATGCTTACTTAATTATTTGCTGTTCCTTAAATGTTCAATGCATGAAGAAGAGTATTAACTGACCAGCAATTTAGAAACTAATTAAAAATTTTTTTCCCTAAATAATCGGAATATGATAAATCTTTTCTAGTTTGTTTGTTGAGATATTACTGAAAAATACATTAACGTTAGAAAATCATGGGAATATGGAGATCATAACATATATCAATAAGAGAAGAAGAAGAAGAAGAAGAATAAGAAGAAGAAGCCAATATGTATAAATATATATATTTTTATGTGTGTAAGATGGATATTAGAAAGTTTTGGTTGAGAAAGAAAGAATGAAAGAGAGTACCTACTGGTTGAGAATGCGAAGGAGGAGATGGTTGAGGTTGAGGCATCGGTGGCTGAGGTAGTACTAATGGCGGCGGCAATGGCAACACTGCAGGCATTAATGGAGTAGAAACTTGATGTTCCAACAATGGAGATGTGATCAACATCGGTGTCTGAACATTACTACTAGTCATCACATGTGCAGCTTTCTCCATCCCCATGTAACCTAAACTTGGATTCGTATTTATATTATCATGACCTCTTCTCTCCACAACCTCAACCAAACCTTCATATATCTGAGCCAACATGTTGCTGGGTAAGTTTTTTGCTTTTCTCTCACCCTTCTCCATTTTCCAATATGATTCTTCACCATCTCTACTAATCTTCCTCTCGTACTCTCTCACTTTCTTGTAATCTCTCATCAGATTATCCCATTTGTCGTTACACTGGTTTTGACTCCTTAAACATCCTTTTCTCCAACAGTAATCTTCAACCCATTTCCATCTTAGCTCTGCTCTTTTGTTTCTTCCTTCTCCCACATCTCCTACTCTCTTCATTCTCCTCTCCTCCTCCATTCTTTTTGCTTCTATTAACACCATAGTTTCACTTACCGTCCAGTTTCCTTTTCTGTACTCTGTCATACTACTGTTGCCACCTTGCTCAGCCATCATCAAAATGCATGCAAAACACCACCGTATAATGGCTAATGGAATTAATTAGAGATGAATCAAAATTTTGAAAGAAAAAAGAAGATGGGCTATCTTTGCCTTGTGTTGTTCTCCTTTTGGAGACTTGATTTGATGTGGATTTTGTTTTTCAAACCAGTCAAATCTAACTAAGGTTGCCAAATTAGGCAAGAGATATTAATGGGTAACCCTAAACAAACATCAATATAAACTGTAAACATCAGTCTTCTTAAAATGAATCCTCCTGCTAATTTCATGGCCTCTGAGCGAGAAAGAAAAGAAATTAAAGACAAAATTATTTGGTGATTTGATTATATACGATGATCAGAACATCAAGAGATAAAAAAAAAAAAAAGAAAAAAGGAAAGAGAAATATTCACTCCGATATATATAGCGCCTGATCTAATGACTCCATATAATTACAAGAATTACTAAAACTTCCAAGCTTTATTACTTGATCAAGTACTTGGGTTTGACTAATCAAGACAGGAATCAGTCTCTCTCTACTTAATCTTGTCTTATAAAAGGAAGAAAGAACGAATCCTCCATGGCTAAAAAATTGAGAGTAGAAAAAACCCACCTAAATACTCAGCGTAGAGAAAAGTTTGAAGAGAGAGAGAGATAGAGAAAGGGAGAGGAGAAGTCATGTGAATTATGAGGAAAGGCCAAGCAAATCCATTAAAACTGACATGGAAGAAAAATTTCACCCAGAGCTAGATGGAATCGAGGGAAGCAAGGAAATTTTTCTTGGGAGAGAAAGAAAAAGAAAATTGAGAGAGAAAATTAGAGAGGAAAGAGAGATGAGAGAGTGCTGCCCACACACGTGGTCTAGGCACCAATCATGATCACATCCTTTTGAAGTAGAAGAGGTGGTGTTCAACACTTTAATGAGCATTCTAAGATTTTGTGAGCATCCTAGGCAGATTCTAAACTCTCTTCAAATCCTTTTCCCAAACCCATTTCAGTTATATATATATATATATATATATATATATATATCTCCACTCATTCATAGCCTCACTTATTAATTATAATTCATGCATGCGCCACTATAGATAAATGGCGTACATATATATTGATGGTTCATTTTGTGATTGGCTTGCTTATGAATTGAAATTCCTCAATGTTCCCTTTTCTTTTCCATTTAGATATATGATTTTTTTTTTGCAAAGTTTGTGTATGTGTGTGTATATATATATTTAATATTTTGTCGGTGATGTGACTTAATTTATAACATGTCTGTTATTAATGAGATAGCCACACAGTACTTACATAAATATATAGTCCCATGAGAGATTCAGGAATCAAAATTTTCTTCATTTATTCATTTTGTTTTCTAGCTTTTAATGACACATTTACTCTTCCTATAAATCATTTGCTTTTAATTATTTACCTAAATGAGATTAGCCTCTAACATATCTTTGGATTGTCAACTATATATATATATATGTACACACACACATTACTCACCAATCAATACTGAATTTTAGTTTTGTAGTGAGATATCTCAATTAATAATAATAATAATTAATATAAATTATCTGCACAGTTAATTTAATAAATTATAAACGTAAAACTATAAATATACCTATTGTTGAAGATGACTTTAACATTATATTCTATATTTTTTAAAGTTTTCTTTTTGAGAGTAAAATAAAGCTTTTTTCTTTCATAATATCTTCTTCGATCTATTCTCAAATGCAAGAGGAGTAAAACATCTACTCGGCTTTCGACTATTCTTCTCAAGAGCAAAAACAAGACTCTTTCTTGGTGTATTTCTCCCAAAAGTAAGAGCAAGTATTTTTCTCTTATATATCTTATCAAAAAAAATTTTATAAACAAAAAATTATAATCAAGCCTCCAAAAACTAAATAAGAGTTCTCGTTAAACAAATCATATAAAAAATTGAACAATCTTTGTCTCTATTTATCGACATTCAATGATTTAAGAATAATTATTGGTTCCTTCAACGGATTATTCTCCACCAAAAACAACAAACAGTTAGAGATTGAAGGAAGGAAATATTGTTTTATAAAGAAAAAATAAGGACAGAAATTGCCTCTCATTTTCACAAATATATATATATATAATATATTTCATGGTAGATTTTTATACGATTGTCGTTAACATACAGTATACATACATACACACACACACACATATATATATATATATGTGTGTGTGTGTATATGTAAAAGGCGAGGCCAGTTTGCAACAGTGGTCCATGGTAGAAATAAATAATGATACAGACTGTCAAAAAGATTCTGGCAGATAATAGTCTACTTTTTCTCGTGAGAAAATCAAAAAACGAGAAATCTACATTAAAAGACTCAATAACATGTTTATCATTTGCTTAACCTCGTAATCACCTCCACCTCTTTACCATGCAACATTACTGTTACAAACATTTTATATTAACACCAAAACAAATATGAAATTACACGAGGAGCCCCTGCACTTTCTCTTAATTACTAAAACAACCCCCCAAAGATGTTTACTGTTGTTTGGGGATGTCCTTTTACAAAAATAGGGAGGTCAAAATCGTCTTTTTAGAGAAAAGGGCGTACGTGCATCTAAAGCCCGTGTGCCACGTCAGCATCATTTTTGTTTCTTTTTCTTTTTCTGTTTGCCAGGTAGGACACGAGAGAGGGGTGCGGGTGGGTAGGAAAAGTTCAGGCTCGGTTTGACTAGGGCTTGACTGAAGTGGGGACCACAGAGCTCTTTGACTGGTTCTTTTCGTTCCAAGTTTTTGGACTCTAGCCTGCGTACTCTCAAAGTGTATTATGTATGCATACACAGTGGATCTCTGGTTATGTTTAAATTTTATATCAAACAAAATTTACCCAAATTTGTTACTTTTACTTGTGTCTTTTCATATAATATTTATATAAATGTTGTTAGAATAATTGTAGTATTCATAATTCAATTTGACTTTATAACAAAATAATTTCAGTTGTATCGATATATTGTAATATTTGTTCAAGAAAAAAAGTTTAATTTAAATTGATTCATTCAATTCTAACTATTTACAACTAAATCTAGTTATTTAGATAATCTACTTTTCATTTACGTAAGAATTAATAATAATTTAGGATTTATATGAATAATTGTCTTAAAAATTAATAAATATTTAGCAAATTACTAAAGAAAATTAAAATAAAAGCAATTAAAGTAATCTTAATTTGAATAGCAATAAGATTTACATTAATAGCAAATTTCAGTTGATTGTATCTGTTTTATTCTAATAAATGTATTAAAAGTAGTTACATTAAATTAAACATAAATAATAAATTCATATATTATTTTTAATTATAATTTTTTTTTAATATTTATTATATTATGCCATAATTATTACTAAAACATGCTTTCTTTAAAGTGTTTATGTTTAATATATTTATTATTCAATAAATTTTTTAGATTATATTCATATGCAGCAGCAGGTTTACTGCGTAAATTTGTAAACAAATAATCATTTACAAATTAATGTAACAATAAAAAATAAAATAAATTATTTAATATTTGAATCAACATCAGGTAGTCAAAGAATTTTGTTAAAAAAAATTAGAACTTGTAACCCTCCTTGTGCGAGGCTCTCATAGGTCTGATTAATTCTGGTAGTACCAGCACAAAAAGTGCACTTGTTTGTTTCACAAAGATGAATCGATAAAAGCAGAATCGATTTTATTACTAAATCAAAAGGACATTAACGTTGTATAACTTACACATCGCCCCAAAATTGATTTTCTTACAGTTAAAAATACACGTTAACGCTGTAACGACATACATATTTTCTCAGCATTTCTGGACTAACTTGTTCACCCATCTGAATATAACAACAAGCAGTTCATCCAGTCTTAAGACTCTAAAATGGTCTTCCACTCCCCCTTCTGTCTTCGGCAAGAAAGCTACAGTATTCATGGCCAAGTAGAGAAGCTACCTTTCTTCGATACATTATTCAACATGGGATTTCAAATTAAGAGAGTTCTGCCTCCTGGACTTTGATACTTCGCCTCTGAGTCAAACTAGGACTCGTGTACTCGTCTCCGTCATCAGAAGATGCAATATTAGATGACACTGATGATCGAGGCATTGAACTTGATGACAGGGGTTTAAAGGATTGATTGCCCAAACTTTGAGAAGGAAGAGACTGAGATGGTCTCGAAACTTCTTGGGTTTGATGACCTTGTGCCTCCTCTGCAAGTCTTCTTAGAAGGTTCATGATGGTGGGAAGAAACCTTGACGAAAGGGAAAGAAGTCCAGGAAGCTGATAATACAGGCAACAAAGCATTAGAGACTAGTTTTAAGGGGGAAATTTATCAGCCAAGTAAAGTTTATTACTGGATTCGATAAATTTCTCTCTTCATTACCCTTAAGCCAAGGCTCAAGGAAAAAATTTATTGCCCAAGGAATTGTCCAGCGACACTAAATATAAAAATCTTGAAAATTTCACAATCCATGCTTCAAAAAGAAATGAACTAGGGAAATGTGGATGATTAAAGAAACAAACAAACAAATATTTTCTTTAAAACTAATTCATGTAACCAAATAAGACAGACAGATACTTGGGGATACTGCTGAGTATGTGCATGACAACATTTTAAGCATAGGACAAAATAGCTGAAACCTCATCATCTTTCTAGTGAAAATGATGGTTAAACGTGAAGAGCATTCAAATGCTCAATTTCATACTCACAACGCCATGCTGAAAGTCCCCTGCAATGTCCAGTTGCACCCACAAAGCTTTGGAAAATAAGAAAATGACAAACAAAGCCATAAGATAAAGAGGGTTCCTGTTTCATCAGAAGAAAAATGTCAATGATCACAATTATTAATATGGAAAGCATAATATACCTAAAGATAAGCACGCTTTCAAATTTGTATGAGTGGTAGAAGAATCAGGAATAATTACTTCAAAAGGAGCATGAACTCATTAAAACCAAGGACAACCATGGCAACAATTGCCCATGGTGGAGGTAACCAGTTGTTGCTTCGCTTGTAAGCCTCCTGCAACCAAAAAAAAAGAGAGCAAACCAAATCAAACCAAGCCCAAATAAAATACACACAAACAGGCAAAAGTAAACTTTCATAACCATAACATGTTTGGCTTGCCAGACTACTATTTGCCATAGCATTTAAGTATTTCATTTATTCGACCCTAAGATTACTTCAGACTGCTTGTGTAATTATCTGAAGAAAACCATCCTGCTCAACATAAACCTGGCTACAAAACATTTGCTTTGGTAGAAGTTCCCGGCTGGAGTAAGGAACTATATCTAAATGGCTAACTGAAACTTCGAAGCCTCAAACAAAATGCAAATGAGTTGCAGAGAGAGGAAAACTTTATTTTGGTTTATGATAGATGAAGAAAATAGTACTAGCTTATCAATCTGAAAGACATGCTGCAAATCTTTTATATATGGTCAACAAACATTCATTTGTGAAGTCACTATCTGAAAAGCGATAGAAAAAATCATGGGTTGTGCTGTAAGTCTTTTGTAACAGCTACTAAACATTCATAACAAAAGCTACAGAGTTGATTAGTTCTACACAAACCCCTTCCAGACCCCCAATAACAACATGTGATTTTTTTCGTAACTACAGTTTCAACAAAAGAATTCTCAATGTTACATGTTGCTATTAACGTGTATATGTTAAATCCAGTGGCATTTGGCCTAATCATATTTTTACAAACTTTACCTGTGCTGAAATTGCTTGAGTAACTGTATACTCTGTTTCTGTTTTGAACTGTCTCCATAATGATTTACATTGCACTGGTGTAATCACCACATTCTTTGGGGGAACCTGAAATACATTTGAATCCAAATTAATTAACTTCAATAACAAAAATATATTTGAGGTAGCTATCTTTTAAATTCTTAAATTCCATAATTATCATTGGAACCAAAATTGATTCTCTTAGTTCTCTACAAAGTCCTCAAGTAAGATTTTCTCATATTTAGATCCTCCTCCCAAAATGCCACATATATCTACAAGAACTAAGCACTACCTCCTCCCATGTGCTTGAGGCTAGGGGGTCTGTAGAAGCTCCAAAGCTCCTGTCCAGAGAAGATGGAAGAGCAACGGTTCTATCCATTAGAGATGCAAGAAGAACACTCTCAATCTTATCTGAAGTCTCATCCAAGCGTATGGCAGCCATAACAGACAAAAGGCTCAAGGCCTGCAACAGAGTAATAGATGAGGATCCAGATATTACTGTAGAGGTAACAGCAATATTCAAATCCCATTTGCTAAAAACTCACGCATTACCGAAGAACGGGCCTCCTTGGTGATTGCTTTAATGTCCTCTTTTCCAGTCCAAATCCTTGGCATCGAATCCTTGTCATGATTGAAGACGGTTGAAAACCTGAACATATTCCAAGAACAATAAGCATGACCATAGTTCAGAAAAAGAAAATATCTAGAATAAATTTTCTACCTATCTTTCATGCGAATCAGAACTTTTGCAGCTTCTTCCCTCGCCTTCTTCTCCACCAAATTTCTTGCATAGTCCCTTAAATTTTGCACCATTTTATCAACTGTAGCTGGGTCCAACTCAAAACCAACAATGAGATTTGAGAACTCTGATACAGCTGCCTCAGTCTCATGCTTAAGGAGCTCCCTTATCAAAGCCCAGGTGTCTTTTCCAGCAGCTTCAAATAGACACTCCACAGGTGCAGTAAGTGCCTCCGAAAGTTGTTTCTGTTATCAGTAAGGTATTACTTCACTAAACTTCAAAGTCTTATTAGCTACAGGACATGCCCCATATCCTACATCTATAAAACAGATTACCTCATAGTTGACTGTAATGGCAGACAATCTAGAACTGCGAACCAATAATGCATGTGAATCAATATCACGAGAAAGTTTTTCCCTGACTTTGGAAGCATCCCATTTAGCCTGTTGAATAGTAGCATCTGAAAAGGGGAAACACAAATGTCATGGAAAAGAATCATATTTTCAATGAAAAAAAGCTATAGAATCTTAAGGAATTAGTTAACAACCCTAAAAATATTTTTTTTAATGACAAGATTCATTAATTCACAAGAAACAAGAGAGTATCAATCCATATATAAAAAAATATTTACATGTCAATCAAAATATTAATAAGATTCTCAAAATCCTCCACTGTATAAAGAGGATGACCCTCAATAAATATCAAAAGTCTGAAACCACCTATTTCTAACCCTATCAAAATCATCTTTCACCTCCTGAAAAGCTCTCATGCTCCTCTCTTTCCACACCATCAAAAAAATAGCAAACGTAATGAGGCTGACATGTTTCTTCCCTACACTAATACCTTTCCACCCAAATCTCTTCCCTCACTGATCTAGCCATCACCAACCAATCCTCAATAACCCGTAAGCCATGGTCCATAACTTATACCTAAGCAGACACCAAAGAAGGATATGATTACTGGACTCTGCCTCCCTCTAGCATAGAAAACATCTATTTACCAATATTTTTCCCCTAATCAATTTATCAGAAGTAAGGATACACTTACAACCTGCTTCCCATGCAAAGAAAGCAAATTTAAGTGGAGCATTAACCTTCCAGATTTACTGAAAAGAAAAACTAGTCTCTGTAACATCATTCTTAATTACATAATTATAGCAAGACCAAATTGAGAAAGATCTTCTGGTATTAAGTCTCCAAATTGGTTGTTCATTACTCTTATTAATTAAGGCAAACGAGAATATATGAATGAGAGTCTCATAGTCAGTAATTTCCCAATCATTAAGGTTTCTCATAACTTCCATATGTCATTCCTTCCTCTCGCCCCCCTCCCCCTCCCCCCCCCAAATCTCTAAATGACTCATAAATTGATATATTCTTATTTCACGCAATAGCATAGATTTGGGGAAACTATTCGCTGAGTTAAGACCAAGCATTCTACCAAAAACTGAATATGTCCCTAGTATCAACCCTCCACTTGATAAAATCCTACAATTTATTCCTATACATGCATATTTTTTCCACATCCTCTTGCTGTGCGGTCTAATCAATACTCCAAAATACCACCTTCTATCTACAGTTCTGAATTTTTCCACTATCAATTTCCAACATAGGATACCGTTTTCATTCATGAATTTCCATAGCCACTTACCATGTAAAACCAAATTCATCTCCAATTCTCAAATATGAGATATTGGTTAGGGAATCATATTGACATATTGTTGAGTAGTATATTTTATTATTTAATTATTTTAATTTATTATTCAATTATTTAATATTATGTAATTAGAATTATATGAAAATAATAGTCTCATATTTTTAGAAATATAATAGAATAAGAATTTCTCTGTTAATAGGATAGAAATTCTATAAATACCTTAAGTGTGACAATTTTAAATGTTGAGAAATAAAATTATTTAATTTTTTTTCTAAAATCAATATGATATCATAGTCAAATAAAACTATTTAAGATTTTAATTTTAAAAATTTTTTCAAACCCTAAAATAACACAATAGGTTAGATTAGTACTCATTTATCTAAATCTATCATTATCACTATTCTAAACAGCGTCGGAGCCTCATCACAAATCACATCAGAGAGAGGGGAAACAGCGGCAGTGGCAGTGCAAGCGGCAGTGGCGGGCGGAGAATCAGACAAGATCACACGCGAGTAGCAGCCAGACTAGTGCGACTGCGTGAACCCAGAAAAGACGAATCGCGCACGGCGGTCGGCCTTCTATGTCTGTTTGTGGACCTGCCCCGACAGAAGCGAAGCGACGGCGGGTGATCAGAGAAGCAGATCTGCGTAGTGGAGAAGCAGGTCGGATCCGTATCTGCTTGAAAGGAGCTGTTGGTGCTTCTTGTTGTGGCTAGGAGAGAAGAAATGTCGGCCTATGCGCAAAACCAGAGCCAAAGAGAGAGAACGCGCGCCGGAGAAGATGAACCAGCACGGCAACAGCCAAATTGTGTGAAGCCCGATCCGGGGCGTTTCTGGGCAGTTTTCAGCCCAATCTCACCAAATCCGTGCTGGATTTGGAACCGCTGGCGTTTTCTGTGGTATTTCAATAATTTCCAGCAGCGATGTGTGGTGATCAGCAGCGGTGCGTGGCTGTTCTAGTGGATGCACATGGGCGGTGCGTGGTGGTCCAGCGGAGGCACGTGAGACTCTGGTGATTGCAGGGGTGGTGTTTCCGGCAGCAGTGCATGGCAGCACGTGGCTGTCCAGTGACTGGGAGTCCATCAGCCCGTGGCAGCGTGTGAGAGCTCATATAGTACTCCATTTTAGAAGCGAGCCCGAGCCATTCTAGAGCTGAGCCCAAACCATTTTGAACCAAGCCAAGTTGTTTGAGCCGGGCCGAGCTGTTTTGAACTGAGCCCAACCATTTTGAGTTGAGTCAAGCCGAGCTGCTACTTGACAGATTTGTTTACAGTTTACATCACTTTTTTGGCATCCTTTGACACTGGTAAACTATAGAATGGCTCTTCAAAACTTGGTTTGCAAGTTGAGCATATGTGATACCTCTACACCAACTTGAGAGAGATGTTGAGTATTATATTTTATTATTTAATTATTTTAATTTATTATTTAATTATTTAGTATTCTGCAATTAGTATTTTATGAAAATAATAATCTCATATTATTAGAAATTTAATAAAATAAAATTTTTTCTATCAGTATAATATAAATTCTATAAATATTCTAAATATAACAATATAAAGGGGGAGAAATAAAAATTAATATTTTTCCTCCAAAAATCAATATATATAGATGTGCTTTGATTTGGTTCCATTTGCGTAATTAGTTTCCTATTGTTTCTTTATAACAACGAATATAGACTCACGTATTTGCTCCCTCTCAAAGTACAAAAAATTCATTTTTTCCCTAAACTCCACAATAATATAAGTTTAACTACACCAACCTCCCAATCTACTTTGTGCAGGAGTTTGGCAGACCTATATGACAGAAGGGAAGATCACCACAACACTCTTAAATCCAGGAGTTCCCGGCATTCCTTCCCCAGCACAACTAACTCATCTCCATTTGTGAAAAGAATGTCTAGAGCAAAGATGAAAGATCATATAATGAAGGGATTATGCTCTTATTTTGATAAAAAGAGACACTGCTGAACATCAATTCAAGAAAGCTCTTTTGGCTGGAAGGGTTCGACAATCCAGATATCATGGCAGATCAACTGGAGGTGGCCAAACCAGAATTCTATTAATTATTTCCAACAGAGGAGCATTTTCATTCTTTCATGCTAGAACAACAGCTGTTTTAAGGAGGGAAGTAATCTTAAGGCCTCTAATAAAATAACGCAGCAGCAAGCACTTTAATTAATCTCTAGTGTTGAAAAATTATAAAAATTATATAGGACAGCTACAAAATAACAAGCTTGTCATTACACAAAATTATATCTATCAACTAAGTTCAGATTGTTAATAGATGTAAAATGATAGTTCAATAAGTATTTTTGAGATAGAAAATATGGTGTGATTCATTCATTCACAAGCACCAATGTGGTGCTAATCCATTTACAAAAAATAGATAGTTTGATACGTATGACATAACAATTAAATGACTGTCAACTAACAAAACCAGCAACATAATAAATGATTCTGCTTAGGGAAACACAGAAATAATTATAATTTTAGCTATATGGTAAAGAAAACAACTAAAAAGAGCATAAAAATAACATAAATTATGTGCAGAATTTTTTTTCTCAAAAATTTTTAACTATAAAATTGATGAAAAGGCTATGTTGATATTTCAAAAAAAAAAAAAAGAACTATAGATCCAGTTGCAATTAGACCAAATCCTTTAGAACTTTTGTCTAATCAGTTACAGACAGATCAGTAGATGGAAGATTCAGATGGACAATTCAGTTGTCTGTTTACTTTCAGTTTTATTTTTAAATTTAAATGTTCAGTTATTTTTGTCACTTTGTAACTTTTCTAGGAGAAGTTCTTGAGTATATGTTGGCCGTTACTTCTGCCATACTGTGCTGTAACTTACTCTTATGTATGTGTTGATGGAAAGATAAAACAGGAGGCAGAAATTTCAAGCGAAGTTTTGAATACTTTCTTACTCGAGCAGATAGTTGGGTTCTTTCTTGATACGCCCAAATCTTTCAAGACAAAATAGCTCAGGAGGGAGGGATTTGCAGAAACATTCTGCAGACCTCGAATCTGATTTTTCAGTTCAAAGACCCTTAACCAGATCCAGGGCATGGATCATGATACAGATTCAGTGACAAGCATATGCATCTTACAACTTACATGGCTTGAAACTAAAATATATATGGACTTTAGGATGTGAGTGCAAAAAAGTAAGCAACATCTACTTTTTGCATGCAATAGTACCTGCACATCCTTGGTCAAATTCATGCATAGAAGATTCAATGCATGTACGGACAGACGCTGCAAATCCTTCTCCTTTATTAAGTAAGTCTTCCAATCTAGCTTTGAAACTTTCAAGAGCTCTAGATCTTAGATGCCCCAACATGGTAATATAAGCAGGATGCACAAACTGGGAAATTAACGAGACAGTGAGTCATACACAAATGTTCATGATTAAAATTATTGTGATTACTAGAATGCATTGTCTTACATCTAATGCTTTTGCCTCCAGCTGTTGCCGCTTTGAGTTTCTCACACCTTCATCAAAGTACACTGCCTCCATATCATATCTAGAAAAGGAGAAGATGCAAAAAAGTAAGATCGAGTTCGAAATAAAATGAATAAGGGAAGTACTTGACGGGGTTGGACGTACAAACAACTGGCAGAACATTGTAACAGCAAATCTAGATTCTTGACACGATAGTTTGGTTGCATAGTCAGAATAAACACTTTAAATCACTCTAAACAAAATATCATTCAAACCTGGCTGTTAAATCACTTTAAATTCCCAATTTGATACCAATTATAAATCCACCACAAGTAACAACTTTGTCATATGGAATAACAAAGTAGAAGCATTTTGACAGGAACATCGTTCACATTATTTGTTTCACAATGTAAGCTGTAAAAAAAGTCAACTTACTCCAAGAAGTAGGTTTCTAAGATAGAACTCAGCTTTTTCCCAAATCCAGAAACAGGGCCAGCTTGAACAGCTTCTTCCAACGCCAACCAAACCTAAATCCAGTCCATTAGTACTGACTAAAAAGACATCCCATCAAATAGAATCATGGAAAGAAGATATGTTCGACCATACCTCATCGGATGTCAAGCGCCGAAGTGTCTCGCTTGCAATCTCTTCACACCGAACAGTGGCAACCATTACCTAACAAACACAAAGAAGATGTATGCCTATTAGAAAATAAGAGCGAATTTCGCTCATAACAGTAAGAGACAAATAAACAAACCTTGTGTGCAGGAAGATCCAGGTCCTTGTTTTCTTTTATAACTCTCCATATCTGCTGAGAACTAAAAGAAAATCCTGAAGCAGGTACAACACCCCGCCTGTCACCAGCAAGTCCCCCTGGAGATATAGAATGGAAAAACCGCTGCCTCAGTTCAGCAACCTGCATATGAGATAATAATAATATTGTAAGAAGTACAACTGAGTAAAGTTTCAAATAAAACTGAAAATGTTGCCAAAGACTGATGAAATCTAGAAGTAATGTCAAGAATTCAAGGCTCTACAAGCTGATCTGTTTATTGAAACATTTAAGAACTACCTGTTCTTTAAATTGCTCCTCTTTCTCTTCATAACTTGATAATGCGGTCACCTCAACCTTTATGCCATACATTGGAAACCAGAAAATGGTCAAGACTACAAACAGGCCTATATGGTCAAAATATAGAAGATCAAATAAGAGGATGCCTTCTCACATTAAAGAATTCACTTAGAGGAGTATATTTATGGGCCTCAGGCTTGCGAACTGCATCCCATATCTGCAAAATCCATACATCAGGAAAAGAATAAAAAACGGCACACAAGCACAATGCCATATAAGAAACAATGCACTAAATTACCTTCTGAATATCTTCTCTTAGAACAGGTTCCAAAAGTTCAAGTGGGGTCTACAAAAACATAAAAAAAAGATTTAGTACAAGAAAAAGGGCACGTTTTAGAGGTGGAAAATGAGGTTCTAGGAATCATCTTCCAATAAAATTTAATGAAACAAGTCCTAACCTTCGTTTTATCACGTACAACAAACAAAAGAGTAGTTCTGCGAGGACTAAATAAACGCATCATGACCTGCAATGAAACCAGAACTTGATTGTGAAATATGTTAACCCAAAGACTGGACTAGACCCCATAGCCAAAATAGCTTGAGTACCTGGAAAACTGTTTTTAAAAGAGGTTTGTTGGCTGCCTGTTCCCGACCAATGTCATGACACCACCTATAATATTCAACATCTCATTAACATCCCAAGATGACTAATGAAATTTGTGTGCAAGTGTATGCAATTGTATCCTTGTGTGTGTTGAGGTTGTGCTACACATTAGCTTCTTTGAAAAAGCCACAACAAGAATATCTGATTCCTATAGAAAACACCGAGAAAATAGAATCAATAAGGTGTCTGAAAAATCAGCAGGCCAAGAGGATGAAGAATTCTGGAATTAGGAGAAAAATTCACTACCAATCCATCTTGTTGATTAATCATAATTTCCACAGGGTTCGCTTGTTTCCTTTTCGTGTATTGTGGAGTCACTTTTTCTCTTTCATGTCTCAAAATGTTTACTTCTAGAAATAATAAATAACGAAATAGAGATATAGATCAATCATGTTGAATAATTTCAGGCTTTTCATTTCTTTATTGGAAATTAGAAGTTTACTTTCTAGATGGCCGTTGCTTATTGATATCCCAACTTAAGATCCGCTAGCAATGTAATGAAGTGGGGCCAGGAGACAAATAATAGTAGGTGAAATCAAGTTGAGGAAAATAGAGAAATGAACCTAACATGTCAACAATTGTCAACATTTTTATTTCAAAAAAAAAAAATTTGTCAACAATTCTTCAAAGTTTTTGTGAGGTAAACTTGCTATCCTGTCTTTCAGCTATTTTATCATGACTCTTAAGTTTTCACCGAATTGAAACCTACTTACATACTTGGCAGTGAGAGAATTTTACTATTGCACCAGAAGAAACTCTTACACCAACCTGCTTTTTACACAGATGGCAAAAGATCATCTTCTCACTATTCTTTTCTATCCTTAACAGCAAGGAAAAACCATGTCCAACTCAAACCATACCCATATCTATTATTAACAATTAGGCCAGGTTCAAGATGATTTCAGTCAAATAAAATCACCAGCATGTATGTACAGAAGTGGTAGCTTACAGCAATATGCTGCAATTTTTATTCCAGTGAAAGAAACTTGACAACAACTGAACCATTTCCCTAATTCATACTTATTCTGGATTATTTTCAAATAAGGATGGAGTTTGCCTTCCTAAAATCAGTAGTGAGAGTCAACACCTCTTTTTCTGCTAGAAAAGGAAGGCATCATCAAGCAGAGAAATAAAATCAATAACTGTACAGCAGAACTCAAACTCACATGTTTATCAGCACAATATCTGCAACAGCCAAAGCAAATAAGGCACTTTGTTTCTCAAATGTAGTGTCATCCTGAAAAACATAAAATCCAATAATGCAAGAAAAAATTAGTTAGAAGGGGAGAAGAGAGAAAAGGAGTAGATAAAGAACAGACTTATCAGTTAGTAAATTCAGGAAGTGAGACATCATAACCTCTTTCACTCAGCTGTCATAATATACATATAAAAACATATATCTACCTACAAGATATGAAACTAACCTGATGCAGATGGATTTAACCTGGATTTTCTAAATGCATTAGGAATCATATTCCTTTTAAATCAAAGTTCTATGGTTAAGATTAGGACTACAGCAATATTAGAATTTCATTTATGCTTTAAACTTTTTTAGTTTCCTATTAGGATTTCTAGTTATTGTTAGATTAGGAATAAACCAGAGCCCTATAAATACTTTATAATCTTATTATTAGAAGCCATCATTCACTACCAAAAATGTGAGAATTTTATCAAATCCTGTTGTAGGATGCAATCAACTCCTGATTTCATGCCAATGAACCCTTCTTCTTAGACGTGATATCCACAAAACTGAGGCGGGATATCAAGGTTTAACCTGTTCCTCAGGCAAGTTAATCCTACTTTGTCATACACCATAATCAATATCTGACAGGAACTATCCCTAAGAGAGATAAAAGATATGTCTATTTCCAGAATCTTGAAAACAAGAACATGCTCCAGTATAATACAAATCCTACTATTTCATAGTGGTAAAAAGAATAAGGTACCGGTGCATAGTTTTCACAGAGCTAAATTTTAGTCCACTTGGATGCATTTTAGAGATGCATGTTCCACCATATTCTTGAGAAGGCAACTCTTCTAGAAGTTTAATCCCTTATTTCATGTTCATCACCAACCAACCACTTGGAGCAACAAGGATTTGAGCCCTGTCGATGGTTGGTAGTACTGCCTATAAAGTTCTGCTAAAATACTTGCAACATAAATGTAAAAGGTGGTCGAGAATTTTTTAGTATTTCCCAGAATGATCGTTTTTACCTCGCCTCGCTCCCTTCCATCTGTGCCCTCCAAATCCATGGCAATTGTGCATGGCTCAATGCCAATACACTTGGCTATCCAGATACCTTTAGTTGTTTGACTCCTGCAAAAGGTTAGATTTTTTTCGGAGTATTACTAAAGAGATAGTTTATTGTCCATGACTCTCATGGAGTGAATCCAAGAGCACATATTCTGTTGGAAAACCAGAAGCAACCAACCTTCCTCTATACGCATCCATCTCCCTGAAACTGGTATGGAAAAGATGGTTTAAGAGGGTGCTCTTCCCTGCTCGCAGGAGAAAAAGACAGATTCATCCAAACTATTAGATCACTGACATTGACAAACAGAAGCATGCACAAATAAACGTCAAGTTGCATTCACATCATGCGTACGCACACAGACATGAAAGCAAACAGAACACAGTGGTAGTTAGAGCCTATAAATATGTTATTTCCATAAAAATCTCCTGACAGCTACATCCGTCTAAGATGTATGCAGTTGGAATGTATTCATAGAAATACATAAGAAATCCAACATGTGCTAACAAAGTTAGGAGAAGATCCCTTAATTTGTGACTCCATACATAAATATTTATTAATATGTAATGCATACACAGCTGCAGATTTGAGCGCACATGAAAAACAAAAAGATCGAAACAAAAAAAAAATGAAATAACAGAACTTGTACATCTCAGAATTGAGTTATGAATTAAAAGCAGGTTCCCATGAAGATGATGCCAGCCGATTCCTGTTCGCTGAGAGCTAGAGCAAAGGCCATCAGCTAAACATGTCTATTGCCAAGTCTAATGATGTCCGTAACTCGTCAATTTATTTTCTTAGGTTCAAATAATTATTTCGTCCCCTCATCCATTTATTTCATTCCCGAGAGGGTAGTAATGGCCTAAAACTAGCACATCCAAGACCAGAAACTCATCCAACCTCCATTTAAAACTAACAAGGGAGTATGACCAACTCTAACAAGCTACGAATTCTACAAAATAGCTCAGTGAAGCTAAATTCAACTTAAACAAATCTAATCAACTATTAAAACAATTCCAAGAAGCAACTCTGCAACTTCACTATTCAGCAACAATCAATTCTAAAACATGACTAAATTAACAAACAACTTCATTAAACACATACCGCTACTCTGCGGTCCCATGATGGCAACCACCGCATAGGATAGGCCACAATGGACAAGCTTAGTTCTGTTCACGAACTCATCGAGCCCCGCCACATTGAATTCACCATTCCCGTCGATAAGTTGCGTGGCGCAGCAGTCTTCTTCCATGGCCCCGATTTGTTTCCACTACTTGTCTGCGCACAGTGGTGAAGACGAAAGTGAACGATCAAAAATCCGCAGAAGACTAGGGTTTACTGCAACAGCGAGCAGAGCTCAGTAGAGCTAATACGGATCTGTCAGGTAAACAAACAGTAGCAGATGTTTCGTGATCGCTTTCGCTTCACTATCAATGAAGAATAATCAACTATTATCAAAAGCTAAAAGAAAAAAACAAAAAGCAATTCAATAATAAATTTATAAATACGTAAATAGAGTGAGTATTTACTTCAACAGTGCACTACGTTCCTCTGGATTTTCTCGGGAAAGTTTAAGAGAGAGAGAGAGAGAGAGAGAGAGAGAGAGAGAGAGAGAGAGGAGAATGAGTAGAGGAGAAGCAAAGAGCATATAAAGAGAGAGAGAGAGAGAGAGCAGGGATCGAGTCCGTGGCAGTGAAATCAGGGAAGGAGAAATTCTACCGGCTTCGTTTCTACTTTTTTTTACAATGATTCAACCGTCTTGTTTGGTATGCCAAAAACAGAAAAAGATGAGAAAATCATTTGGCATTGACTTTCCAAGGACGATTATCAATAATAATCTTGACCATACATAGTCTTTAATTTTTTTTATTTCATAAAATTATTTTTCACATGTCCATTGCATGGTTTAGTATTATTTCTTTTCTAAGGGACACAAAATAAAATGTGAAATTTTTTATAAATATATAAACTATAAATAAGATATTTATAAATCATTTTTAATATACATAATATTTAATATTACAAAATGCAATAAATTTGATTAATTAAGATGTCTTTATTTAAAATGAAAATAAATTATTCAAATTTTAATTTAAATAAGTCAACTAAATTATAAAAATAATCATTGATATGTAGTCAAAAAATAACTTTGAACTAATAACAAATGGCTATCTAAACTTGAATTAGAGGTGTTCAATGATGTAAAATTGAATCGGTGCACATTAATACAAACCAAATCAAAAGTAAAAATTAGAAAAAGTTTGAACCTAAAATCAAATTAATTTCTAATTAGTCTTATATTTATCTTAATAAAAAAAATCAATAAGAAAAATATAAAGGTTTAGTGTGATCCCACGAACTATATTTTATAAAATTAAATAAATGATAATCTTTCCATCTTATCTCATATGGATATTTCAATCGTCAAATCAGTGAGAGAAAGAAAATTTTTTAAATTTAAAGGAGTATATGTGAGCATAAAAAGAATAAAATATTTATTTTTATTACTTATATGTGATCTAATCTCATAACAGTTTAAAGTTAAAAATAATATATGTAATTTATGTCGATAATATAAATATAGTAAGAACATAATGTTAATCATAATAACTTTGGTGTGATAGTGTAATATAATTAATACTATCCAATTATGATCAGTTATAAGATAAATGTAGGTTACTCCTGAGAAAACTTAAATTATATGGTTACAAGTTATCATATAACTTTTAGATTTTTGATGTATCATATTTTTCACTTATTGTAACATGTGTTTCATATCTTGCTATATATTTTTTTATTTGATACATAAGATGTGACATACTTTTATTATCTTACCAGTTTAGTAAAAATATTTAAAAAAATTATTTTTGATTTTATAAATTATTATTTTTCTAAATTCTTTTTTAAACAAAAAAAGTTTCTAGAAATACTCTAAAAATATAAAAAAAAAAAAATTATATATATATATATATATCGGATGGATCCATTGCCTACCCTTAAATTAATTTTTGTTAGTGGATGGACAAATTTGTCCCTACTTACCAAGTGAAAAGAGGTTGACATTTCTATTTATCTTCAATAGGTGAACACTTATGTTCGTCTTTGATGGCAAAGATGTTATTCACTTTTAGGGATGAATGGAATAAATTGTTCAGCCTTTTACTTGTATGATTCAAAAAAACATAAAACTTAAATAATTTTTATCAAATTTACTTGAAAAGAAATCGTTTAAAACATTTAAAAATTTCATGTACTTACCTTAAGATTTTATTAAACTTTTTTTGTCATTACAAGATTTATGTTAGAACTACCTTGATTTAGGCTCCACATTTTATGTTATTTATGTATTCATTAATTGATTACCTCCTGCCTCGGTCCTATTGCTACCACAACTAATTGGTTAGCCTAGGAAAATCTTGAACTTAAATGGCTAACATGGAGGAATATGAAGGAAGACAAATTATTTTGGAAGCAGTTCAATTCCTTACCCCTAAGAAGGTTATTCAGGTTTTTCGTCCCTCTACAGGTTCTTAAATAATATATTATAATAACTTTAGTTTGTTATTATTATTTTATCTTATCATTTAATTATAATTATTTACACTATTATTATCTCTTATTATTATTCTATTACAATTTTTTGACAATATTATCAATTGTGTTACTATGATTTTTTTTTTTTTTTACCATCTTTATATGTAATACATTAAAAATAAAAATTATACGTGATATTGACATATAATTGAGCATAATCCAAGTAGCATAACAACTAGCAATTATAGAATACCTATAAATAAGTTGATCAATCTTTTATTAATGCTAAAGGCAATGGAGTTTAGGTCCCTCTAAACTCCTCAAGCTCCACCGGCATATGATCGAGACTAATCAAAATGAAAAATTAAGAAAAAAAAAATAGTTGCAGTATAATAATTTTTTTTTTTTTCAAATTATTAGTACAACCGTAAGAATGATTATTTACTTCGTACCAATCTACTCGATTCAATATTAAAATAATTTTAGTTGTACAACTAATTACAACTTATCAATATTAAATGATTCTAGTTAAAAGTATAATTTTAAAATAGGTTGTTATCCAATTCAATTGAATTTAAAAAGTTAAATAAAATAAAATATATTTAAAAGAAAAAAAGGAAAAATGAAATTCAAAAAAGAAACCACAAAATCTACTTGACAAACTTTATGAATGAGGGTTCACAAAGAATACTGCATATTCTACTAAACAAACTTTATGTTCAATGATCTTACCATCCTTCTTTTATACATTCTAACATGTACAAGACCCATTGGCTCTTTTTTTTCTGACCGTCGGATTATGATCTGAAGAAAGTATAAAAAAAAAAGAAAACACATCTCAATATATCAGTTTCACAAGCTAAAGTTCTCGAGTCCATCTTATGGCTTCCTCTTGTTCCGTAGCTTAGAGATTGTTAGGTCTGCACCTCCAAATCCGTCCAGTACAGCATTGGCTGAAGGAAACTCAGCTCTTGATGTCAAACTGCCAGAAACATAATATACAAAACATATGGACCGACTTTAGCAAGACTTCATGGTTGAGAAATTAAAAACATAAATGAAGTTGATGTAACTATACAGAGAGTGCGTAAAATTATGACCAGTTTCTACATACCAAATAACTAGGATTTAGAAATTAAGTTTGTTTGAAGTTTGAACCAAATGTAACCACAAAAGAGTATGCATATGGTCCAAAAGAATTCTTTGGATAGCAATGGAATTAAGTGATTAGCATGGAGAAAATTGATTGTGTTGGGTTTGGAATTTATTATCTGGGTGGGTCTGCTTTCTGATAAGATATTCCAGAAATTTCATTTAAAAAGTGAGAAATAAGTATTTACCTGCTCCGTAAAACAACACATGGCATCCCTATTTGCGCAGCTCCATTTACCCCAGGTTTACTTCCAGCAATAAGAATGCAATTTTGAAAAGGTAACCCTGCAGATTCTGCTCCCGCACGCAGTGTGGCAATAATCTTCTGTAAACTGGATAAAACAAAATTTTACCAAGATGGCAAAGAAAATTTTGGATCAAGTAATTTGACCATGTGGATTAGGCCAAGTATTTGCCAAAATGGCAGGTAGACCCCCTAGTCTTAATCTGTGTTCTATCTGCCATTTTTGACTCAACCAAAAGCCTAGAAATCTTTTGCACAGAAAGTCTGAAGATATTTGTTGATCCTTTTAAATAATGGAGGAAAAAAGAGGGACAAGGAAAGTAGAAAAATACTAACCGTTCAGATGAACTCGTGTCAAGATCAACACTCAACTTTAGTATGGATGCAACCTCCTTGGCTATCCTTTGTTTCTCAGCAGAAGCTAGCCAACAAAGCAAGAAACAGCACTTAGCTCATGCTATGTACAGTAAAAGCTGTCAACCAACACATGCTCAAGAGCCTACCCGCTCTTTTTACTTCCTCAGCTAGTTGTTCATCCAAATCACAAGACATTCTTTTACCCAGTACAAGTTGGCCATACAAACTCTGCTCTACCTCCTCAATTCCAACTATCTTTATCTTTGAAATTCTTTTGTCACCGAGCTTTTCAATAATAGACCTAATGATTTTGAGCCAATAGAATGTAATCTTAGTAAAAGAGCTTACTGAAGTATGACAATTAGACCATATTCATAAATCATATATAAATCACATTCTTTAATTTATATTCAGGTTGCACTGCTGTATCTACTGCAGAGCTACCAGAGAAGAAAAAAGCATACTGGGAAACTAAGATTTCATCTAGTACATTAAAGTATTTTTTGTTTTCATTTTTCTAAATTTATTTATAGTTTATTCATGAAATTACAAATAAGTTAGTTAACAATTGAAAGCATGATTGTGAAAATGATGAGAAAAATTAGAAGATTTTATAATATTGTTTCTAGCATTTTCTAGAAAATTATTTTGTTTGTGCTTTATTATTCCACAATTATACAACTCTTCTATATTTTAATAAATAAAAACATACATATATACATATAATTGAAAATTAAAAAATACTCCACGAGCCAAAGGGAACCTAAAAAACTCAGTAAGAGTTAAAAGTTACTTCTAACACTTCCAAAATACTATAACTAAGTAGAGACATGTACCGAGCCACTTTCTCCCCACTTTTGCAATAGGCAGTCAGGACAATCACAGGTACACCCTCATTGTTTGCTTCATCTATGAAACTGCAAATAAGCAAATTATGTTTTAATATGTCTTTCCACATAATTCAGGCAGCAATTTCTGATTCATGTTCGTTGCCTCCTATATGATGGATTCTGTAACATTCGAAATAACAAATAGATATCACAATTTCATTTTTCTGTTAAGTGGGACAACTCACTCTTCAAGTCCAGGCCTCAAAGGTAGACCTCCTGAGAGCAGAAGTTCATCCATTGCATTTTTCTGCCAACAAGCAAGCAATAATACAGTAGGTTACCTAAAGTCTGGTCACATAGATTCTGAGAAATGGAAATCAAAAAAGATTACATCATTGTTTGAACAAAAGCTGAAATTCAACGTGCTAAACCACAAAAAAAGTTGAATAGATAGAGAATTGAAGGCTAAAGATGAAAAGAATAGAAGTATTTTTTCTGACATTCAACTCGATGTGCAAAGTTCACTGAACTCATCCATAAAGATCAATCTTATTTCTGGCAAGGTTGTTTATGGAAGTCTCTAATCTAATAATGAAAAGAAAGTTCAGTAGATGATTCTATAAAAATTCAACCAAAGTTGGCTGATGGAGTAAAACTAAGGAGATACGATGAAGAGGGCTTGATATAATCAGTTACGGAGAATGTTCAACTTTAACTTCTGTTTTTAAATGGTTTTCAGGATAAAAAATCCTAACTAGAATGCTGCTTATGCCGCATATGTGAATCAGAGAGTTTAGGCCTAATAATTAAGTGTCTCCAGGGGTATATCCAATCAATTTTCCCAAGTAGCATAAGTAATATTACAGCTATCAATTTCACTTTTCTAAAAATCTAATTTGCTGCATTTCTAGGAAAAGAGAAAGGAAAAACACATGGTACATTCGTAGGCAGCCAAGACAACTCTCCATCAGAGAACTTAACATCACAACTATACGTATATTGGACCCCAAAATAGCTTTGTATCATTTTATTGGAAAAAAAAGTGTACCTTTTCTCTCAAAACACGTTTCACAAAACTTTCCTTCTCACTGGTGGGCAATGAAGTAGGCCAACCAATCTGCAAAAGAAATGGAGGAAAAAGAAAAGGAATTAACCCAATAAGAATAAAAAACAGAAACAAAGAAAGTTGCAGGCTCTGACCAGAAGACTAGTCACAAGAGCAACTTACACGGTTAAAAAACAAAAACAGCATCCTCTCCTCATCACCAGCATTCTTTCTGTAAAGCAATCACAAAAAACATTAGACGATAAATTCTCCATTGATAGTTGAAAATTAGGAAAATTTTCCACTAGCAAAAAAGAGAAAAGATTGATTAAGAAAAATAGATGAATAGTGGAGAGGAGGAATTCGCATTGTAGAAAATGAAAAAGAGAAACCCATAAGAAACACAAGATAACTATGAGAAGATAGGTCTTGATTGAGATATACTTGACAAGGTCTGCATAAACAGGCCCCGACCAATTTGCACAGTCAAGTCCAAGCTTTTTAAATGCTGAAAATAAAAGAAAATTAGCATGTCTACTTATAAACACAAACAATAGAAAACGGCATATAATTATATAATCTGATCACACCTGCATTAAAGGCCTGGCGGTTCCCAAAGCGATAAGCATCAACAAAGATCCTGGAAGATAGACGAATACATTAAAAAGCAAAATCCAAATAAAAGAAACTAACATGCCGAGAATCCTTTGAAACAAGAAAGCAAAGAAATCTGGTCAGAGAAGAAAACAAAAGAGAAACATCTCTCAAGAAAAAACTTGGGATGGCGAATACGACAGCACAGAACAGTAAGGAATCGTCACTAAGCGCGAGGAATTTGTATGTAAATAAAAAAATATGATTTGGCAAATGCCATTCTATAAAGCGAAATGCGAGAAAGTGATTGAATCGAATTCCAAAATCACCAAGAAAGCAACAAAGGGCCTATTATTATAATGTAAATAAGAAAACAGCAGCAGTCGAGAAAGTAGACAACACCAGAAGCGAAGAAAGAACAAAGAAGCAGTCGTATTACAGCAATAGCATGGGATAAACCAACAGTTTAACAGAATGATTTGGCAAGTACCCATCAAATTCAAGAAGAACAGCTAGTTCTTGAGAAGGGTTTTCGCTTTCTTGATTGGGAAGTGAGCTGAAAGCAGTGAACCCATTGAACTGCAGAAATTTTCTGGGAATCTTGAAGCTTATAGGGAAAGTAGGAGGAGATAATGAAGGAAGACAATCGAAATTGCTGGTTCTTGGCAGTTTTTGATAGCTAAAATATCTGTTGCTAGTAATGGTTTTGGTAAATGAAATATGAAGAGCTTGAGGGATTGAACACGAAGCTATTTCCATGGCAACCAAAAGGAGTTTTTCGTTTTCCTCTTTCCACTGCAACTGTTTGCTGTGGCTTCATAGTTGTGGTAATACATCAAATTACGGTTTTATTTTCAGTTGAACTGTTTTCTTTTTTGGTTCATTTAAGTTGAAGATTTTTGTCTATTCTTCCCGAAAAAAAAAAAAAGCAAAAGTGCTCTCTATAAATAAAAATAGTGGCAAATCTTCACTGTATATATATATATATATATATATATATATATTTATGGTGCAGTCTACCATACTTGGTGATATTGGAAAAGTTACAAAACTATTTCAATACAAGAAATTGGATGTATAACAATTATTTCTAAAGAAGATCTTTTGTAATTTATTAATATGTTGATGATTCCATATATTATCTTGCTGCAAAATATTATATTGGCTCTTTCTAACATAAGTATAAAAGATTATGGAAACTGATTTTGTTTTTATTGTTGATAAACCCTAATTCCATGTTAGGAATTACCAAAAGAAAAATACTCTTTTTATAATCTTTTCATTTTAGTATATTTTTCTATTACATTAATTATATTTGATACTTTAAATTTAAACAAAGAACACATCCTTCTATTAAAATGATTTAGAATATCTATATGCAGTGATCTATGTCGAAAAGATATTATTTAATTATATATGATGTACCTATACAAATTCTCAAAGTATTTCGTAATTTTTTTTTTAAAAGAGAGAATAAAGAGAGGTTATTTTTGTTAATGTAAAAGAAAAAGAAGAAAAATAACCAAAATTTCATTATTTTGTTATGATAAATCATTTTATTATTATATATATTTTATTTAAAGTTAATAGAAAAGTCAGATATTTTTGTAATTTCAACGATATGATACTTGAAATTTTAAATTTTATAATTCAAATAAAATAGAGTTTTTAAAAAAATATATAATTACATTGCTTAAGAGTTCATCCTATATATATAAAAATAAAAATAAAAATAAAATAATTATTATCTATTAAGAGAATTAAAATAAAAAATTTATTTAAAGAGCAAAAAGATAAATTCACAATGTTGATTATTTCTCTTAATTTAAAATAAGGGAAGAAATTCTAACATACATGCCTATAAATATATGTTTAAAAATAAAAGCAAAAAGATTTTTGTATGTCCAACACAACCTTCATTTAGTGAATGGAAGATAATTTCTAATTTTCCTCCTTTGTTGGCAGTTGAAAATACAAAACTAAAAAGATGGTTTTAAAAATTAAAAAAAAAAAAAATGCCTCGAAGAGTCTGAAATATTTTATACTTTTTAAAGGACAATAAATAGACACCCACTATACATGTTTTCTATCTTCTTTTTATTTATCATTAAACCAATGATATCTTCTTCTAAAAAATCCTATTAACTCAAAACAAACATTAAGCATATTCATCCATAAGTCAAACTGGATACGTAATTATTGAAACCATTTTTGGAGACAAATGGCGGACTTAGGCAGCACATGGTGTTTTATATATCCATTTATTCTATTATCTCTTGCTTGCATTATATCATTTGTCCTATAGGCTAAATTCTCCTTCACCCTTTTCTTTTTTCTTTTTTTTTTAAAAAAAATTTAAGAAGAAGAGAAGATGCATTGAATTGTTTGACAGGACAGTTACCAAATCAGAATCATACAAAATCGTCTTGCTTTCTGGAAAATAAGATCTTTTGTTGAATAGGAAAAGAGCGAGACGTAAGTAAATTCCGTTCCTTTGCGACATAAATTGGGCTCAGGACTCCGTCAAGGTTTTCTTATCTCTTCCATTTCTCTCAGCAAATGATTTCTAACAAGATGCAACTCCATTTTATGTCTTCGCTCTCTACTAGCAACAGCCACCGGGCTCCGATCAAGTAAAACTGGAGCCATAAACTTTGTAATATAAACCATACAGGGTGAAAGAAGAAAAGAAAAGCCCCAGAAAAGGGGAAGGGAGGGGAGGGAGAAGGGGGAGGGGGAAAGGTAGTCACTTATAACTTAAATAGTACATGAGAATGTTTCGTTTAAGGCTTTTATTCAGCAATCCTTTCAAACCTAATGCTGCCTTCATCTAAAATGGCCAAGTGCTTTCTCTTTTTGGATAATTTAATTGGATTCTGAAACCCAGTTTGCTCATCTGTAAACTGAGCAGCTGTTCGAGCCCGTAACTCTTCCAAGCTCTCACCTTCCTTTGCCCTCTCAAGTATCTAAAATATCACAGCAGAGGTTATAGCTGTCTTCTTATTATGTTAATAGGCATTAATCACATGCTTAGCCAGAAAAGAAGAATATAAGGGACCCAAAAAAAAGCCACAAGGATGCTTGTGAACAGTTGTAGTTACTCACCAGATGCCGACCATAAAGGTGGGTGCTTGAAAGTGCTTGAAGTGCATTTTGTGCCTCTTGCTTTGTAACATATTCCACAAATGCAAAACCTCTGTGATTTCCAAACTTCATTGGCAATCGCAGGCTCTTGATCTGCAGAAGATAGAAATATATATATATAGAAGTCATTCATTTAGACCGCAAAGGGCAGACAATTTTCTGATTCCTTGTGAATCATGCATAAAAGATATATGTGCTGTCACAATTCTCTATGGGCATCAATTAATTCCAAAAATATGCACTACCCCACAAATCAAAATCAAACAACCACCTGTCCAAATGGGCTAAATAGCTGTCTCAGATCTTTTTCTGTTGCTTCAAAAGCTACATTTCTCACAAGTAATTTTGTCAAACTCTTATCTTTCTCAACATTTTTCACAGTTTGTTCATCCTTCTTGGTCTGACAGAGTTGCAAGATAAGAGCATGCCCATCCAAAATGGTTCCCTGAAGGAGAGAGGGAAAAAAAAACTATAAAAAGAACTTCACAGTTAACAAAATAAATTTCCATAGCACAGATCACAAATTTTGTTTTTACCTGTAAATCTTTGCAAACACTGGTGGCTGTTTCAACAGAATCAAACTCAATAAAACCAAAACCCATTGAGACATTCTTTCCATTCTTTAAATGTTTCTTTATCTGCAGATGGTTGGTGCAAAACCACATCAAGAGGGCATACTGTTAAGTAAAATCACAATTACGGTTCTAAAGAATCAGATTAAGTTACCCTGACACTTAGGATTTTTCCCCCCTCCACGCGTGAACTGAAATGCTTTTTCAAATTCTCATCAGAAGTCTTGAAGTTCAGGTTCTTCACAAAGAGTGATCTTGACTACAGCATAACAGAAAGTAAAGAGTTGGTGAAAATACATATTTGAACCGGAGAACAAAAAACAACAATTACTTTGATAATTAAAGCAGCAGACTTTTGAGCTAATTCAAACATCATTAGAGATGTTTTGCATGTTTAGGCTATATTTGGAACAAATCCAAATTTTTTTCTGAACTCGTTTAGAAATTCAGAATTAGTTCGGTAAGAAGATGGTGAAAATCCTCCTTATTGCAGAATTTTGTATGGAATTAGAAAAGTGAATTCATCAATTGATGAAATTTGAATTACGTTGTTCCAATTCTAAATAGAATTACACGTGAGGTCGAATTTTATTATCTTGCAAATAGAATTTACATAATTTTTTTATTAAATTAAATATGCTTTACAAAATGAATCCACAAAATTCCTTAACTTGCTACCCAAATAGTCTTAAGGAATCTAAAGTTTGTTTGCCTACACCATCCCAACTGCCAAAGTGCTCTCATCTATTTTTGTACCTAGTACCTTCTTTTTTTTTCAAATCATGATATAAACAGAAGATTATTGTAATCAAGCCAGCAAAGAGTTGCCGAGCAGGAGTGATTTTTCATTCCTAGAAAGATCATTTTCTTTGCCTTCCATCTTCAGAGCATTATTTCTAGCAAAGCTGATCTTATATACTTATTTATTTTGATTAAATATCCAGTCTTAATATTTTACTTTTGTCTATTTTTCTGAAATCCTACTCTACATTGTATATCTTTATTCAGCCCTCATATATAGGAACTAGACTTCTTTAGTCAGTGTTATATTTAACAGTATAAAAATCTTGATTCCGCCTGCCAGCCCATATTCCAACCAACAAATATTCTGACAAAACAGAGGAGCCAAAACCAACCTGCCAATAACATAATAAGAATAATTTCAAATGCTTAAGGCACCTTAAGCTCCAGGAATTCTTCACAAAATGAATGATAAAGTAATAAGGATATTTGAAGAAAATGACACATGCTGGTTACCTAAAAATAGCTGAATGCATACACAAAGAAAATGACAGATTAAAGTTTCTATCAGATGGGTAATGTCAAACATAGACAGAGGCACAAAATAGCAAAAAGCTTAAGAACATATCCTCATGTAAACAAGAATATAAGCCTTATGCACATCGTGCACATTGAAGGAAGTAATAGATGAAGCAAGGATCAGCAAGACCATCACCCAGATTCACCAATGACCATTGCTTAGAACCAATTGACAAATATAAGCTATTGAGAAGACAGATTTAATAAACAGGTAAGAATTAAAGAAAATAAGGTAATTCAAGTATATTAGAATATCCGAGCAGTAAAGTATGAAGAAGAGGGAAAATACTTGCAAGAAACATATACAAATGGCACACCTCAATCCTATCTGGATCGATATCCATATCTGATGTTCCTTCCAACTGTTGTTCCAAAATCAATCTCTTGGCATCACGTTCACCAACAGCCGCGTTAGCCTTTTCACCGTTCTTGGTGGTTGATTTTTGACTAAGAATATTGCCAGGAGCCCACTCCAAATACAATGGAGCATCTCTGTATTAATACAAGAAAAGCAGGTAAAACAGAAAAGAACTATTCAGTTTCAAATCACAGCTTCCCAGAGTAAGAAATCCGAAGTTACAAGCAGAAAATCACACATTGAACAAAAACGTATTTATGTATGCAATAAGAATAAAATTATAGTCCAATTAGTATCTGTACATTCTTTGCCTCTATTACTTCCTGAAGATTACTTGCCGTGCAGGAATTCGGGAAAAAAAGGATGACTTAGAGGAGATAGTTCTATGCATTTATATGCGTTTATAGGTTGTCCTACATGCTTATTTAAAAAAAAAAAAGGCTGTCCTACATGCTATTTATCACTCCACATTCCCTTCGTTATTACATTTCATATAATTTTTTAAAATTTTAATTACCATTCTGCAGCAACATATGGACTCTATGTATTAGTTATCACTACAAAAAGAAAGAACAATCAAGTATTAAGTTGAGTTACTTTCTTTTGTTGTTTTAGAATCTTAGCCTTACATGGTGTCCTGTTTCTTTTACCGCACCAACATATGCTTGTAATATACAGCCTACTTTGACTCCCAACTCTATTTACCCCTTCTTGTCCTCATATCTCCTTACGTTCCTTGAAAATATACTATGGCTGCTAGAGAGAAAGGAAATTAATCCATGGTAAACCAGATTTTTGGTTTCAAGAAACTCATACTTGAGCTATGGCTCTTGCTGCTGACAACTTCTCTTACACAGCAGCATAAGACCTCAATTTAATCCAATTGTGTGTAGCCTAAAACTTTCAACTCATGCTTTATGCTGATGACTATCATCTTCTCAGCATTTCAAACTAATAAGAGTTTTCCCCCTAACCTTCAAAAAAATGCACAAGTCACCCGAAGAGATGAAATATTAGCTCATTCATTCTCATTATGTTAAATCTCGATTCTGAAATTTATTCCACATCTGCTTATCATGGAAGAAGCATTTTATTATTTCTGAGCACATGTTAAAGTTTCATTCAAGAAAATTAGAACTACCCTACAATTTTTTTATGCATAGAGCCCAGTAGATCACAATCATGTTAACTCGACTTCAATCTGAACAACCAAGTATGTCTGTTAACTCCTAAAAGAGTTCCTTCGTTATTAGGATTAAAAGAAATCTTGATGACCTTCATGAATCTTTGGCATCGTAAATGAATTATTCAGTCTTATATCAAGAGTTTTAAACAAAGGCAAAAAAGAATATAAACTTACTTATAACGCTTGTATGCTAATCCTCTAAAAGCTGCACGAGCTTCAGCAGGTTCAAGAAAAATAACCTGAAATATGATGCATAAAGTGTAGAATAACAAACAAATGAGGAACTTTCCTCATTGTTTCTTTTTCGGAGCATAAATTCAAGGCACCACAAAACGAAATAAACAACTGAATGCATACCAAGGCCAATGTCCTTGTAGGAGGAAGAATAATTTTTTCTAAACTCCCAAACTTCCCGAACATCTTGGCGAGTTCATTTTCAGAAGAACCATAAGGCAAGTTCTTCACTAACAAAACATGGTTACTTCGTTTCAGACCATCAGTTTTCCCAGCAGCAAATTCCTCTAAAGCTGCAACATTTACTCCAGCATTTGTTAGGGCTTTTTTAGTCTCTGCAAGAACTTGAGTTTCTCCCAAAGCTATACGTACAGCAAGATCATCAGCTTCGCGGTCAAGTAAATCGCCCTTACTTACACCATATTTCCTGGCAATGTTTTCTATTACCTGTTAAATTGCCAAAAGGAAAATATAAAGATCTTTAATGAAGAGAAAGTTAAAAAACAATGGAATGAATGCAAGAAAATCCTCAGTCAAGTCACAATAATCCAACAGCTCTAGTTACACGATAAACTGATGCAGTCAAAGTCTCATCAAGGCTAAGTGGGGTACTGTCCCACCAGGGTTTTATATTGTAAAAGGTACCCCACCTGGCAAAGAGGATGACTTCTTATAAGTAAGAAGAATCCTTCAATTATAAATGATATGAGATATCAAAGAATGTTTTATATACCATCAAAGCCCCTTACCTGGGAAAATCTATATGGCCAGTATTGACCCCAAACTATAAGTCTATTTACAGGCTGTTGACAGACAGGTTCTGACAGACAATGCTAATGATGCGGCCAGAATCTCTTCAAGCCCAAGTGAAGTATTGCCCCTCAGAGTTCTATACTGACACCCAACTAAAGAGAGAAATTGACCTCTTATTATAAGTAAAAAGATTTATTCAACTCTAATCAATGTGAGATTGAAGACCTTTTCATACACCACCATAGCCTCTCATTTGAAGAAATCCGTTTGACCAATATAATCTCTCAGTATATGAGTCTATGGGTGAGTGCTCAACAACTAGGTTCCTACAGACCAGCTAATAATATAGCCAGACATATGTTGGGCCCAAGAAAGGTATTTACTTAGTTGTTTATCCTGTAAAATATGCCTCACTTGAGAGAGAAAGTGGTCTCTTCATACAAGAAAATTCCCTCAACTCTAACCAACATGAGATATCAAAGAATCTGTTATATATAATCAAGATGATATAAACCCAAGCAGAATATGATGCTAACAAGAATTGTAAAATACAACTATCGTAGTTTAAACTATTAATATTATTTTACTTATATTATAAATTTAGTTACCTTTTTACATTTAGATTAGTAATGATTCTTTTTCTATTTAATCAAGGGTTGCATTAATTTGTTTAGTACTAATTCATTTTCTAGTAATCATTATTCTTTCAGAATTAATGTTAAGAACACTAAAAGTGTACAAGTTCTATTAGTGGTACCATAAGACATTGGATTTTAATAATTGTATCATTCTTAACTATCTTCTTGGTAGATTAAAAGAATCTCTTTTTTTGGGGGGTTTGAAAACATAATAAATTCTAGGTTATCTTTCTGACCTCAACTAATCAAAGCTTCACATAATGTTGTACAATATATGAACTAAAATTTCATAAGTATATTAGGGATTGTTTTCTTAGCTAATCTCCAATTTCTTACAATAATATGGATAAATTAAGTCTTTACTAGCTTTAGTATTTTGTTTATCTTTATATTCCTTTTAAGTTATAACTTCTCTGCTAGGTTTCTCTAACTGTAGTTATATTAGGATTTTATGTTTAAGCACTACAGATGATATGATAATCTCACTTTTTGAGATGGAGTAATGACTTTCTTTTGAGAGAATAACCTATTACAAGAGTTAACTCAATACCTTGGTTGCATGATGCAACCATGTCCTAAATGTCCTTAAGAACCCAGTGTACTGTATGATGCTCCTGGTATTCCAGGAGTTATTCCAGTTATCTTTTGGATTTCCATCCAACTTTGAGATTTGATATCTAAGATTTCTTAGTTTACCCAAAATCCTTGCTAAGTAAATTGATCTTAATTTGACATTAATTGGTGTCAAGACCTAAAATTCCTAACACCCAAAAATTCCTAACCCCACCCGCAAGTGGTCCTAAACCATTTGGAAAAAAACAACAGCAAAAGAAATTGCAAACCCAACAGAAATCACAAACCCCCAACAATCCAAGAAGGAACTTGCACACCAATTTGTCAATTTATTGACTTTGTCCTACATACAAGGCTTCACTCTCATTATTAATTGTCTCTTTCCATTGTTTTTGCTTCCAATAATGTTGACCAAGCGCAAAGTTTGATTTTTCTTTTTTTTTTGCTAAGCTCCAAGATCGTATTTTTGGATACTTGCAACTTCATCATTGGATTAGGATTAGTTGAACACTATAAGTTCCTTCGCAATCTCACTCTTAAGATGAAGCCGTAAGTTAATAAATTATCATGAAAGTTCTCCCAATACCCTTGTTTACGTGATGAAATCATTTCATGCTACTTATATCTGATTTCTCTCCTAATTTTTAGGTTAAGCATTCAAGAATTCCCAAACTTAACCCAAGATCTAAGCAAGGAAACTTATCCTCAATTTGTTCAACATCATGTAAGCTTGAATAATATCAAACAAAGTTATTTGCAATTCCATCTTCTGTCAGAACTACATCAATATCAAGACAACTATTACAGTTAGCAACATCCTTCTAAACTAAATGGTTCTGACGATAGCCAGGGTACAGAGGAAGTTTGGTGATAATTACTGCAAGTTTTTCATTATAATAGAACATACCGTATCAGAGCGCATAAATAAACTATTCCATGCTTTTGTATCTCCACTAGCTTCAGATGCCTTCCTCTCTTCCTCCCTTCTTTGCTTGAAAGTTTTTGGACCTTGAACTGTAGAAACATCATTCCTACAGTGGTAGTAATGTCATAAAAAATTCTCTCAAAAGAATAATGTCATCAAATTACTAAGAAAAGAAGCAATGCATTACTAGAGATCAAAAGTTGTATAGGTTATACCCACACAAGAAAAAAAAAATTGAATAGGTCAATGTAGCACTACTTACCCTTCTCTTTCTGATGAATGCTTTAGTTTTGCTGGCATTACATGCAACAATCTGCCTTGGAAAATTGAATTGTCTAATTCTTCTAACGCTCTGTATTCCAGAAAAATAAAAGTAATAATTCAATGAATTGATTAAGAAAGCGAGGAATACATAAGGAAAAAATATAAAATCCAACTCAAACACAAATCTTGTATAAATGTATTGTGTAAATGCTACTAGTATCTGCTAACAGCTGACAGTTACATAGTTTTGAATAAGCAATGTAAATTTTAGTATAAATGTATAGGAAACTAAAAATAATGAAGAATGGATATGAAATAGAACTTCTAAATTGATTAGAAATTGTATCTCCCGCTAATCTACAATTTAAAGTAATCAGACAGATTAGACTAGGTGTTTAGTAACTTTAAGATTTTATTTACAGATTAGATTAGGTCTTTAGTAACCTATTTAATTTCACTATTGAGATCAAGATATCAGTTAACAAAATTATCAGTTAATTAAAATTATCAAGATAGTTTTCTCAATACCTTGATTGTGTAATTTCTCAATACCTTGAAATGTATGAGAACTGGCTTGCGAATTAGAAGAGGAATTTCTTATCAAAAGATGGAAGATATACTCTCATCAAAAGTACACTTGCTAACATTCCAATATACTATCTTACCACCCTAACTATACCGGTCAGCATTTCAAAAAGATTGGAATCAATTCAATGTCGCTTCCTATGGGGGGACGGTATTGATAAAAGAAAGTATCATTTGGTGAGATGGCCAGAAGTTAAAAAACCTCATAACATGGGGCGGTTTGAATATCAGATCTTTGGTTCATATGAATAAAGTTCTTCAAGGCAAGTGGCTGTGGAGATTCTTTAAGGAAGAGAGCATATTATGGAGAAAGGTGATAGAAGCTAAATGGTGCAGTCTCGATTTTGCTGGGGAGTGTTGCCGTGACAGTAGGGACCATGGACTGGTCGAGATTTAGAGAGTGTATCGGCTGGAAATTGGGTAGGGAAAACTGCATAAGGTTTTAGCATGATGAATGGTTGGATGGGGGATGCTTGAAAACTATATTCCCTACAATATATGCCATTGCACGATCCAAAAACATGAGAGTTAAGGAGGCGTTTGTGACGGAAAATGGAGGTTTGCCTTTGACGGTGAATGTCTCTAAAAATCTAAATGATTGGGAGGTTTTTGATTATGAAGAGGTTTTCAGACTGGTCTCACAATGTCAAATTAGTGATGGAGTGGACCAGCTTCGATGGAAACCATTCAAAAAGGGTGAATTCTCGGTTGATTCATTTCATTGGCAGTTGGTGGGGGCTGGGCAGGATAACATACCCCTTTTCCCTTCAAGACAGATTTGGAAATCCAGTGTTCCGCCTAGAATTGCTTTTTTCGCATGAGAGGCTTGCAGAGAAAGTATATTGACACTTGATAAGCTGAAGACTAGAGGCCAGATTGTGGTTAACGGGTGTTTTATGTTCAAGAAGGCTGAGGAATCTTGCTGCCACTTACTTCTTCACTGCGAGGTGGCCCACGATTTATGATGCCAGATTTATAGACTGATTGGGATCAATTGGGTCATCTCTGGTTCGGTTTTTGATGAGATCTGGGCTAGGAATGGGATTGATCTAAAAAAGAATATTATTAAAATTATCCTTTTAACCCTTTTTTGGACCATTTGGAAACAAATGAATAAGAGGGCGTTTGATGGTATTGAGAGAGATATTAATAGACTAAGAGAGTTATGATTTAATTATTTTGGTAACATTATGTTAGCTTATAACATCATTAGAGATGAGAATTTTAGGGATTTTATTGACACCCTAACAACTTTATAAATTTGTAAATGGGTGGTACTCTCATTGTTACCTTGTTAATATATATTTACACTTTTTATCTCCAAAAAAAAAAACTTTGATTGTGTAATACAATCAACTGTTAGGTGTGATATTCAAGAAACTGTCACCTTACGTGTGATGCCTTAAGGGATCCTAATGTAACTCCTAGTTCATCTTGTGTTATTCCTATCTTTAATTTTTAGGTGAAATATCCAAGAATCCCTAAGTTAAGCCAAATCCAAAAGTAGGCAAACTAGTATTTATTTGTCCTACATCAATGGGTATATAGCTAAAAGGTTCTATAACCCAAAATCTCACAACCTTGTCCAAGAAGATCTCACCATCTGCGTGCAAACAAAAAAATCAAAACTACAAGAAAGCTAAACTCTCATAGCGTCACTACCTCAAATCACCAACACTGCCTGGAAGATGACTATCATAGCCACCACCACTAGCCTTAGACAAAACCTATGCTGCTCCCTCTCCTGGTCACTCGCCCCAAAACCCGAGGGAAGAATGTGTCACTTGCCGAAAAGAGCCTGAGACACTGCTGCACAGCAGATCAAAATTGTCCAGCCACAGAATCTCACATGGGTTCCTGATCTATAATACCCATCATCAAATAGGTCAACCATCAGAATTTGACATTTTGATGCGAAATCCCAAAACCTTTGCTTGAACCTTAGAACTTTTCAATTGGTTTAAAACAGAATTTAGATCACAAGTAAAAAAGAATCAAATTTGTTCAATCACCCAAATGGTAAAAGTTAAATAGAACCCCCAAGAAAGATAAATGATATCCCTTGAACTCAATCCAAACAAGCACCAAGAACAATTGAAATAGGAAATCAAAACTGAAATACAAATAATAGCAATTGTATTTCAAATCAACACCTTATGCATAAAGTGAAAAGAAAGTCAAAACGCTCTCAACTCAATTCTAAAATATCTGATTACAACTCTTGATATTCACAAAGAAGAATTTCTTTGATATTTATAACCAAAGAAATCAATGATAAGTTACAATACAATAATTACAATTGTAACTCCCACAATAATTAGGTTAATTATGTGATAATTACAATTGTAACTCTAATAATAACTAGGCTAATTATAGGCATGTAATTGTTATATAACTTCTTGTAACTCCAATCTTCTTAACCAACACCACTAATTGTTTGTGACACCATATAGTTATGCGTTCATTCTTGTAATAACACTAAAACAAGACTTAAGCTCAAAATGAGTTACACTTGACTATATGAGCTTAATTAACTCAAACTAAAATAAAACAATCCAAAATACTTAAAACAACTCAACTAATTCAACTCATACACAAGACTTATTCACCCATTACCAATAAAACTCAAACAAGCCCAAATTATCTCAAATCATTTAAACTCAATTAAAGTTACGAATTTAGGATGTTCAAAAAACTCATATTTGAACTTCTCACAATTGGTCAGCCCATCATCCACATATTTTTGAGTGAAAACTTGGAGCAACTCTTTAAATTTCTTTACCTTTGATCTTGTTACTGGTCCGCTGAAACTTTCCAGATTTGGAACTCTATTTGTGTTTACGTCATTTGAAATTTACTCTAAGTCATCTTTTGATGCTTTTTGAGTATTTTGAATGTTTTTAATCTTGTTTGCATCACAATTTCTAGTGAACTTTGATCAGCGAGTGGACCCCACAAAAAAGTGACCCAAGAACAGCTCTGTTTTAGCTGGTTCATATATATTTAACCGGTCCAATTAAACTCATTCAACCTCTCCAGACCAATTTTCCAACAGTTCAAACCAGTTACTAAGTGTTTTGGCATGCCCTTTTTGTACTTCTGCTCTGTTTGATCAGAATCTCACTCTGCAGTCCTCTTTTAGAAGAATTTTAAATATGGTAAATATTGAGGAAGAGAATAAGCAATCACTAATAGAGGGTCAAATTGGGGTCATGGCATCTACTTGTAATGGGGACTTTGGGGGAGTAATTGTCATGTGGAAGAATGCATATTGGAATTGGTGGATTGGTTCAGGGGTAAATGCTTGGCTACTTGCATCCTAAAATTTAGGACTTTCTAATGTTGCTAGATGTTTTCAAGGGTGTACACTAGGGGGAGCATGAAGAGAGGGAAGTCATGTGGGATAACTTGGAGGTAGTGCATGGGAAATGAGATTTTTCATTGGTGGTTGGAGGTGACTCGATATAATTCTTCATGGCCAGAGAAGATTGGGTGAAGTTTTGTGCGGGTTTGTTCTGAAGAGTCTGAAGACTTATTAGACAAACTCGATCTTATTTATCTCCCTTTATCAAGCAAGAGATGGACTGCTCTAACTTAAGGTAAAGGCCTAGTTTTTACAGAATTGACCTCTTCTTTGTTATTGAGCATTTTAATTCTCAGGTTCCTAGGTTAGTAGAAAAAATCTGATTGTACAGAACTTTGAATCACTTCCCTTTGTGCTTGGAGACTAATAGTATTAGGTGGAGCCCAGCCTAAGATTTGAAAGGAAACAGTTATGCACCCCAGCTCTAGGGATAAGGTCAAATTGTGGTGGGAGGAATATACAGTGACCGGCCATGCAAGCATTAAGATTACAAGAAAAATGAGCACACGGCAACAAAGTAAAGCTAACTTTGGGGATATGGAGGCCAAAAAAGATGGGTTGATGCAGGAGTTCGATCGATTTGATAAGCTAAAGGGTGGAAAGGCTTCATACAATGCAGAGAAGAATCCTCAGAACAGTGCAGAGAAGAATCCTCAGAACAGTGCAAAGTGGTAGTTGCAAATCTTTTACTGCGGGAGGAGATTGCTTGGACAAAGATCTAGAGGTACTTGGATCACAAAAGAGGTTAGAAACAAAAGGTTTTTTCACAGCCTTGGTAGTCATTATAGGATATGTAACTTTGTGGTAAATGTGGAGACAAATTGTCGATCTTTTTATCACAATGGGATCCTTAGAGAGGCAGTTAAAGGCTTTTTGAAGGAGCTTTATAGAAAAACCTTTTGTTCAGCAACTTTTTTTCGATGGCTTAGCTTTCAATTCCTTGGAGGGCATGAAAAGAGATTGGCTGAAGAAGCCATTCTTTGAGGATAAGACTTTTGGAACTCTCCATTATTGTAAGGGTGAGAAAGCCTCAAGCCTCCCATGGCTTCTCTATGGATATTCTTCAGAAGCATTAGCTGTTGGTTGAAAAGGATATTGTGATATGCTCCCTGATTTTTTCAAAGGATCCTTTGTGTCAAGTCTCAATGCTAATTTCCTAGCTCTCATCCTGAAAATTGAGAACACATGTAATATAAGGGACTTCAACCCATCAGCTCAATGGGTTGTGTGTGCAAGCTTCTTCCCAAGGTACTTGTTAGAAGCCTTGGTCAGCTTATGGAAGTGTGGTTGGTGAGTTCCAAAATACTTTTGTCAGAGGGAGTCTTGATGCCGCTTTTGTTGGCAATGAAGTTGTTGACTCTTTGAAAACAAAGGAGGGGGTGGTCTAATTCGCAATTCTCCCAAGGAAAAAGCTTATAATCACATATCTGGGAGTTTCTATTCCATATGTTATGGAGACTTTGGTAAGTAAAATGGAAGTAGTAGGTCTGCAAGTGAAAAGCAAGAGTCCATCAAACAATGTTTTCTTTTTTCGGAACTTAAAATATATTGATACCTTCTTTAAAGGCTTGTAACCCATTAACCAGACATTTAGGAATTTGTAGTATGAGCATTCATCTTCTTGTTATAGCTACAAAAAAGATCTATTCTAGATATCTTCTCATAAAAAAAGAACAAGAACCAATGAAGCATAATGTACCATTAAACTATTGAAGTGTTTCTCATGATCTGATTAATGAACCTAATAAGTGGTTCAATGGAAATATGGATCAAAATAACATACTGACTAAGCATACACCCTTTAGACCAAAATTTAGTATAAAACATATTTCATATTCATGCCCTGTATCATGATCCAGACATGTTTTAGATAACAATGTTCTCAATACATTGATTGTGTGATGCAATTCTAAGTGTCAAATCAATTCCACTTCTGACTAATATGTTAAAGGGCACAGAAGATTCAAGTCTAGTGGTGAGTGGCACATAATGGTACATATACATGGCCTCAGATTAAGATAAATACAAGTTTCACCAACTTTCAAGTTGCTTCTTGATAAACTAAATTCCATTGCAAAAACTAACAGAGTCTAGAAAACATAAAGTAGATCTTCAGGCTTTTAAGCAACAAAAAGCTTAGTACCTTGCTGCAGATTCTGGAAGTGCATATAGAATATAAGCAAGTCCCTTGGACCGCTTTGTATCTTTATCAACAACCAAATGAACCAGTGAGACGTCTCCATATTTGCTAAAGAGCTCCTGAATCTCATCTTCACTGTTATAATAAAAGTTCAATGATAATAAAGAAACAAAAGATGTGTAGAGATATGTGTAGCATTAAAGAGGAAACAATGAGAATCAAGCCAAGTGCAAAGATATATACGTTGCTGTATATGGCAGATTACGAACAAAAAGGCGACCAGTCTCAAGAACATCGACATTGCTATCTTTCAAGCTTGATGATAGGTTCTCTGTAGGACGATGCTCATCATCACCATCTTCTAGAGAAGCTCTTTCAACTGCAACCTGCGTAGCATCTCTTGTAAGACTTTCATGTTCTCCCTTTTGAGACATTTGATAATCATGGGCCTTGACTTCTTCTTTAACAGAATCATTGTCATCTTTGTCAGAAAGATCATCGTCACCTTCAATGTGATCCTTACTATCATTGACATCACTATCACTCCCTGAATCTGACCAATTTGTCCTCATTCTACTCTTGAAGTAATCCATATCCGAAATCACTTCATCATGAGCAATATTTTGTGACTTTCCCAAGTCATGAGAACCGGCTACTCTTCTGTCTTTATTAGACGCTACATGCACTGAGGCATTGTTAGACTCTACCTGCACCAGAGCCATGCCATCTCTGCTTTCACCTTTGGCAGTAGAATCTTTCGTGGTGATTTTGCCAGTTTGGTCAGCAGTGGGAGCAATCAACATATCATTTGCCCACATTTTGGACTTAACCCTCGGCTCCATGACCAGAAGAAATTCTTGAAGCTGAGGGTCCTCAATTTCCCTTGACTTTCTATCTTTCTTTTTCTCTCCTTTAGCACCCAAAATGGTCAAACTTTTGCTGCCAGAGTTTTCTTCAGTTTCTGTCACTTTTTCTTGTTTCTTCAAAGAATACCGACTCCATGGACGAGGAGTATTTGGATCCCCAACTTTTCTAGCAATCTGGAAGTAAGAATGCAGAGTTAGTCACTCTTAAAATTTCCACTTATATTCATTGCATTCTCTTAAGTGCTAATTACTTACCAAAATGATTTAAATCTCTCATTCCAACAAACATAACCAGGTATTAACAATTTGAATAAGAATCCAATTTGTGATAGTCCTTCCAATTGGAAAGCTAATGAATTATCAAAAGTTAAAAGAAACTGATAAAACACATACCTCACAAGTTATCCTACAAGTATCAAGGTAAGACTTGTTGAAGTACTTGATAGCTTCAAGGGCTTCATTCTCAGTTCGGAACCCAATGAAAGCAAACTGCCTACTTTTACCATCTCTGAAATATGCATTAAAAAATCAAATATCCCCCTCAGCACAATCAAAATAAAAATAAAAATAAAAAATAAAAAACCTCCAACCAAATACGAAGAGTGGTAAAAACATGGAAGTAATACTTGGTGCGCATCAATTTAGCGTCTGTAATTTCTCCTTTCTGCGAAAAAACTTCACGCAATCGATCCTCTGCAACATACTTGGGCAAATTCTTCACGCATATTCTAGACCTGAGTTTAAAAAAGAAAAATAGAAAACAAGCTTTAACAATTACACAACAAAATTAAAACAAAAAAGAGAACTTCAATTTTGCAAAACACTTAGCTATAGCAAAGTTGAAGAATAAAAAGGAAACGAGCTTGAAATTTCACATGATTCAGCTATTCAAAATAAATAATTTACAAAAATAAGAACTAATGAGAAATTTTTCTTACATTCTTCCTCCTCTTTAGTTAGGGAGTTTCGAGAGAAGGATTAAGAAGGGTTTATACAACGCCACGCTGTCGAATACGATTTTTATTCTCGGTTTATATAGTCAAGACTGACTCTAACCCTAGGATATCGCTCGAAATTGGAATCTCTCTATGCATCCAGCAAACCGATTGCAGTAACGCGAGCAGAGAAGGTGGTGCAGATGAGGAAGAGAATTACTAAGAGGCGGCGTGAAGGTTTTTGGTGGGAGGGAAGTGCTCCAGGGACCGGCCTTGTTCTGAGTTCGGACGTTTCCAACGCGGAGGGCCTGTTTGATTGAGCTAGTAATTTGGGTGGTTTTTTTATTTGAATTTGATTTGATTTAGTATTTTACATAATAAAAATAAGAATAAGTATAAAAAGTAACATGCATATATAATTATAATTTTTTAACTAATTCAATATTCACATGGTGTGTAAAAATAAGTACAATGCAATTTTTTAAATCAAACATATTAATTCTGTAACAGTCCGAAAATTTAAAAAGAAATATATATAATAATTCGAGTGCGGAAGTAAAATAAAAGATTAAAATTAATATCCCTTACACAATAATTTAAAAGTACTAAATAAAATCATAGAATAAGTTTTTTAAAATAAAAATAAAATAAATTATAAGGTATCTATCATCTACTCGCCGTCTTTTTGTAGATCGATCTCGGGAACCAGGTCATCCTGATCTGAAATGATTAAATAAGGAATGAGTTACACTAACCCAATAATGACATCATACTAATCACCGTCACAGAAGTAAAGATTAGTAGAAAATTAAAACAACCAATGAAGCAGTAGATTTAAACAAATTTATTTATCAATAATCAAATTATTTACCGTCCACTTACCATAGTGAGATTTATAAAAACAACCTATGCAAACAATAATATTATAAATATCATGAATTCATATATAATCTGTAATATAGCATATATCATACTTTTATATTCAAAATATCAAACAACAATTGCCCCTTTTATCAGCATATTAGTATCCATGGGGATCCATAGGGTTCCCCACTACACGTGAACCTTTCCCTTTAGCAAACTTAATTCCAGGGTCATCTCCATACCCCGTCCGGTATGAGTGTCAAAACAATAAACCTCAATACCCCGTCCGATATGAGGGTGAAGCGGGTCATCCCCATACTCTGTCTGGTATGAGCGCCAAAACCATAAAGTCTTCATATCTCGTCTGATATGAGACAATGTTTACGATAGGGTTCTCTATGAATCTAGTCCGTCCACTATCTCCTAGGATATATAGTGAGGTTGTCATCTTATCCATTTATCAAATCACACCCATTTCATATTTTTCCTGCCAAAACTATAAAGTCTTCATACCTCGTCCGATATGAGACAATGTTTACGGTAGGGTTCTCTATGAATCCAGTCCGTCCACTATCTCCTAGGATATCTAGTGAGGCTGTCATCTTATCCATTTATCAAATTACACCCATTTCATATTTTTCCTTACTATCCATTACTAACTCAAACATGAATACATAAACAAGTAACGTACATCCAACAAAACAAGCATATATTAGATTTCCAAAATCAAACAGTAGTGAAGTAAGCAGTGATTCATGCATTCAAAATCATAGAATAAATAAACCAGATATCATAATGCATTTAAACTGTAAAATAAATCAAAAAGGAATTGACAGATAAATATGTCAGGTTCGGGCTCCATTAGCAACCGAAATTAATTATGCATATCTATTTAATTTGTACAAAATACATTATTATCATTTATTCAAACTTCAATTCTATGATAGGAGATCGGGTGAGGGGGTCCTTACTTGATTTAATGCCGAAAACTAGATTTTCACTGCGCCTACGGGCAGTCCCTGGGTTCCCTAAATTTTTTTTTCGAAAACTGAAACACGCTTACGGTACCTACACATGTCCCAAATAACCAAAAAATCAGACTCAGGGCCTACTCGGCCAATTTTAGAATTCCAGCACGGCGGCTCTGCCGTGCTCCGGTGACGGCGCCGCCGCTCACGGCGGTGATCCGCCTCGAATTGGTTATTTTCGGTCGAATTCAACCAAACTTGCATCAGTTCTTGTGAGAAAACACACCTAGGACCCTCGGTGGGCCGAAAAAATATAAAAAAACCGAAACTTATCTGCGGTGGGACTCACCGGTGCGGTGGCTCCTCCGGCTCACGTCGCAGTTAGGTGGCTCCGGTCAACCTGTAGATGAGAAAACGGTAATTACAACGGTAGAAAAATCACATCGAACAGAAATCAAAAAGGGTCTCATCGGAGGCAAAAATCGAGACACTCAGCGGCGGCGCCGCTGAGCTTCGACGGCATTTTCCAGCCAATTGGCCCGGTGCTTTCGCTCCGATTTGGCCATAGGTGGATTTAGAATCGAATTTTGAGCAAATGGTAGAATTTTTACCTCGTTTAACGGCCGAAAATTGCTTCGGTACGGCGGCGGGTGGCGGCAGTCGGCTCCCTGGCAGCTGGGCTCTCTTCTCCGGCGAGGGCCTCTGGCGGCTAGGGTTAGAGTTTGGGTGCGGATGAGATTATTTATACCCATCCGCTTTTGATCTCAGCCGTTCATCGCTTTTAATTTGGACTGTCCGACTGCGATTAAATAGAAAATAAATCTGGGCCATTCATCACGATTCAATTTAAACCGTTCGTGCACGATTCAATCTGGACCGTCCGTGCACGATGTAATATGGGTCGTCCGTGGGCATTTTTGATATGGGTCGTCCGTGCGCGCGGGAATGAATCTAAACCGTTCGATCGCGCGCACGAGGATCGCTCACATGGCTCCCTTCCGGGTGGCCTCCCGCGTCAGCGTCTCTGCCACCTGGCGCGTCCTGCTTGGCCGAGGCTTCTGACCGGACAGCTGACGTGGTATAATTTTTCTAAATTGTGTTTTGCCCCCTCCCCCCAATTTTCGATTTTTCTTTCAAAAATACCCACAAAACCCAAATTTTCACTCTTTTTCTCTAAAATTATTTTTAATTAAATTCCTAAATAATTTTTATCCCTTTTATTATTATTATTATTATTCTCATTAAAATAAATTAAAATAAATTAAATTCTATTAATATTTATTTATATTTATATAGAATAAATTAAAATAAAATAAAATAATAATAATAAAAATAAAAAAGGAATTTTTTTGGATGTTATAGAATCCATTTGAACAAATTATAATAAGGTCATGGAAACAATTGAATTGAAATAGTTACATGGGCCAAAAAATTCCTTTTTATTTTTATTATTATTATTTAAGGTCATGGAAACAATTGAATTGAAATAGTTACATGGGCAAAAAAATTGCAAAACAAATTATAATAATGCATCAAAATTGCAAAATAAGGTCGTGGAAACAATTGAAATAGTTATATGGACAAATATATATATCTAAAGGATTAAGTATGTTTGTAATGAAAAATACTTGTATTAGTGAGCTAGTACCAAATTAAGCTAGTAAGTATATACTATTTGATAATATCGGAGAAAAATCTCAAACAATTTGTTTTAAGAAATTATATAGACATTAATCAATGTTTAGACTTTCATAAATCATGTTGGTATCTCTCTTTATTTTTAATTCATACATTATAAATATTTATAATCGTGAATTAATTTTAATTATTTTGTTCTTAGATTTTTATTTTATTATTTTAGATTGTTTAAATTTGAAAATCTCTTTGGATTGTAATAATAATTTTGTTAATAACAACTAAATAGATAATTATTTAAAAAATTATGTAAAAATTACATCTTATAATTAATAATTAATTTACATTTAAGATTTGCATAATTAAAACTAAGTTTGCTAATCTTTTACTTTTTTTTTTTACAATTTATTCGTATATGCGTACCAATATAGAAACATTGAAATAAGAATAAAGAATAAAAAATTATTTAATAGTTGATGCAACAATATGAGCCCAGAACTTGAGATGATCTCTAATATCCACTTGATTCCCTTTAATTGAAATTCTCCAATTTCTTAACAGCTTATTATTAATCACTTTTCGTTACCCCTCCATAACTTCGATAGATAAAATATTGTCATTTTAGACTTTCTCTTTTCTTCTTCTTCGTTATTATATCTCTTTCAAAGTTTTTGTTTCTCCTAAGTCTTTATAACCTAGGAATAATAAAAACTAAGCTTAAATCCATGTCTTCCTCCAAAAACAGAAACTCCATATCCATAAAACTTTTCACCTCCTCGAACTCTAAATCTATTAAGTTCTGTTTGCTTTTTTTTTTTTTTTAAATCTTCCTCATCATTCTCTCCTCCATTTTTAAGCTTTCAGTTTTCTTCTCCATCATTTTTCTACCATAAAGTTTATGGTTCTTGTGTAATTTTTTCATTAGTTACTGGGTTTGCTTTTTCTTGTAGTTTTTTTTTCTAAAGTTTGCCAATCCAAACCAATTTATATCGAAAAGACTTAAAATTTCTTCTGCAGTCATTTAAAGAGATTTACAGAAGATAAAAAAGATTAATTATACTATTACAATCAATAATTATTTTGTTTGAAAATGAAAAGCTTATCTTAATTATTATGCCACACAAGTTAGCTAATGTCACTATCTTCTCCGTCTTTTTAAACTTAAACTGAATTTTCGTTAATAATAATAACTAAATAAATATTTATTTATCAAAAAAAATTAAATAACAATTTCTCCTGTTGAAGAAAAACTTGTTGTAAAACTAAAACAGTCAATTTTTTAAGAATAAAAAAAATAATTTTCTTTTCAAATAGACCAACGACTTTGACTTTGACTTGTATTCGTTTTCATTCACGTGTACTTCACTATAATATAAACATTTTTATAAGAATATATTGTGTTTATATACTATATTAATATAGATAGTATTGTTTATATATGTTATTAGGTGTGAAATGAGTCAATTTAGAAATTGAGACAGAGTGTAAAGACCCTCTAAACTAATTATTTGAACCATATAGTGCTCAAAAACACTAAATAAATTATGTCCAAACTCTAGAATATTATTAATACAACATATTGAGATATTTTAAACATAAAACTATGCTTATTTACTAGAGTTAACGAACTAGTACCTGATTAAGCTAGTAAAACTATGTTATTTGATAATAATAGAAAGTTTTTAAGGTGAGTTATTTGAAGAGATACCTCTATAAATTGTGTTTGCAATCTCTTTTACCAATTTTAATTTATTTAATTAATTTCTCTGGAGCGTTGATTTTCTTGTTTTAAATTGCTTAAATTTGGGAATTCAATTTATCTGCATTTTAGGTTGCCATAACACTTGGACTAAATTAAAATAATAATAATCATACATAATTAAGTAAAAATAAGTTATTTAAGTATTTGATTTGATTTTTTTAGCTAAATTTAAGTATATGGGATCAATTAAACAAAATAAACCAATAATATAATAGAACAATTGAATTTAAGTTCACTTACATCATAAATTTGGATTGATATAATCATGGCTGTGAATTTTTACTACGTCCTAGTTGGTCTACATTATTATACATATCTTGCCCTACCTTACTACATATCCAATTTCAACACCGAATTTCAATTATTTTAAAATTTTGAACAATTTGCTCTAACAACTTTGACACTTTTGGACTTCAGAATTTTCAACTACACGTACATATATGCATATATATATATATGTATAAAATTAACTAATTACTGAAGTATATTTATTTAACTGTTGACACAACGTGACAGCCAAACCAAGTCATCTCACATCACGTGGAGCTTAGAAGAAAATTCATGTATATTAATATATAATTTACTCACTATATTTATAAATTATAGGTTAAAATTATATACATATACATAGTCAATGACCAAAAAGACCCTCAATCCAAAAAGTAGAGCTGATCACTCTCACCATATCTAACAACACCTCTACTCAAGTAAATCTATAATTATAAATATATATCAAGTTACCCTTTTAAAAATATGCCCACGATGCTTTTACATATTTAATTACCGCTAAATAATAGTTTATATATATTTTTTAAACGGTAATTAATTATAAGAGCACCGTGATTAGAGGGTAACATATATATATATATATAGATATATGTAAATCTAGATGTGTATTAAGTATTTTAACAAATGATGAAATGAAAATTATAAAACTAGCACGACCACATCGGCTCTCCCAAGCTGGCCTGGTCCATTCCCATGTCCATGTCAAAAATTGGCTTGGGTTGTGAGGTGATGAACCTGGAGGAAGGCGAACCGCTACTACTTGGGCTAGTTGGGCTGAGCCCATGAGCTGAGAAGGAGGCAGTCTGCCTCAGCCGCAGCTGCACCACCTCAGCCTGGGCCAAAGCCAACTGGGTTTGAAGAATGTCGATCTGATGTTGCAGGGACGATATGGCTCCGACACAGCCATAAACTGGGTCTCGGACTCTTGCATTTGCCTCGTACACCATGCTGCTAACGGCATCTCCCCGCTGGTGCTCTGGCAACTCCTGTAAAATTCAGTAAATTAGGCCCATTGAACGATTGCCAGGGCCCAATATTTATTGGCCCAATTTTTTTGGTATACATCAGGGTGACATCATTTAATGACTTTAAAACTTTTTTTTTTAAAAAATAAATAATATTTACTTGTAATTTATTACCATTGCTCTAAAGTTAATCCTAGTTATTATATTAGAAAAAAAAAAAAAAATCAATGAAATTGAAAGAAAGGGAAAAGAAAACAAAAAAACAAAGAAGCAAAATAATTTTGGGGGGCTCACGTGCAAAATAGAATAATAAAATGTGATACAACACAGATTAGGTTGTCTGTGTATATATCTATGTGTATGTGGGTGAATACTTGGCATATAATCTTGTAATTTGGACAATATTCATTTATTTGCATCTGCAGTTTAATAACTTTACAAATCACCAAGAAAATAATTTTATCTCTAGATCTCTGTTTTTACTGAGTGGGTGATATATCAGGTTTAGCGATCATCGTCCCCATAATTCCAATTGAAATGTAAAAGGAAAAAGGAGGCATCACAGGGAAGAAGAACTGTATGCAACGACTGAGATGGGTTATAAATATACAAATAATATATATATATATATATATATATCAGTAGGCACGGAGAAAGTAAAAATGGAAGTAATAACTTATGGAAAAGAACAAGAATGTAAACTTAAATTTGAAGAAAGAAGAAAAAAAAAAAATCACAAAATTACCTGAAGCATCTTGTTGACATTGCTAGCCCCAAAAACTTTATGAACATTAGCAAATTTGTGAGGCTCATCTGCAGGAAAATAAGGAGCAAACACACAGTCCTGTGCACATCTTCTTCTGAGAAGCTTGCATGCTGCACAAGGTGAAGCTGCACCCTGTTTTCTCCCACTTTCCTTCATTTTCTTAAAATTTTTCTTCTCAGCCAAACACAAGTACAGAAGAAGAGAGGAGAGGTGGGAAAATAAAGAAAAAGGTAGAAGGGGGACAAAGGGTGGAGGGTTTTTTATAAACCTAAAAGAGACATGCAGGCCCCCCCCCCTTCTTCCACAACACAAGAACCCTTTAGATTTTTGGTCCACAAAATAAAACATCTCTCCAAAGTCTCATCACTGGACAAAACTTTTTTATTATTTCATTATTCTTCTTCTTCTTCTTCGTCGTCGTTTTCTTCTTCTTATGCTCAGCTACTCTCTCTCTCTCTCCCTTCAATATACATACATGAGACATGATGTATGATACATATACATATACATATACACACACATAAAAACAAACATATACGTATATAATCATTTTGCTCATTGCATGATTTCATAATTTTATTTTGGTGGGTCCGTACTTTATTTTATTATTTTCTTTTTAAAGGTGGTTTGTAGAGTAGATAGTGTGAAAATGATGCATATCCTTCAAACTTTTTTACACTTAGCCTCTATATACTCTTAGTAATATATATATATATATATGTATATATTAAAAAATAACAAAATAAATTACAAACTAACACAAGAAAATTCTATATATTAGAATACATATATTTTTTTGGGTTAATTATAAAGTAAATTAACATGGGGGGATCCGATGCATGCAGTTTTCCATGTAGAAAGTTCACATATTAATTATTATCTTCCATGACTTTCTAGGATTTAGAGCTTCATGTGTTGCATGAGCCTTTCTAATTTCTCCATCTTCCAGCCTCCCAACTTTTACTACTTTTTTTACTCATGTTTATTTTAACATAAATGTTTTTAATACATCCCATATTAATTAATAGTGGAAAATTTTAATTACTTAACAAAGAAATTTAATTAAAATATAATACAAAATTTCATTTCAATTAATTGATAAGAAAATGATATAATTAAGGATTTTTTTTTTTTTTTTTTTATAAAAAAATTGCATGGTCACTTTTTGGATTTGTATATGTGTATAGATCAATTTAACTACTCAAATATCATAATAATGATCAATAAAAAACTTGTGCATGCGTAAGAATATATAAAATTAATTAATGAATCATCCAACATTTTTTTTTTCTATTTTATAATAATTAATTAATTAAACCTCGTCCTTAACCACCACTAATTAAAATAATTAATTTAATTGCTTAATTAATTAATTAATTTTGGAAGATGATATTAACTAATTTCAAAGAAAGTGGCATTGCCTGTACACATTGAACCCCCCCACAAAACCAAATATTTCCTATTCTTGACATTTGGAGATAAACAAGGAGTGTTTAATTGACTTAATTACTACTTTTATGGAACACTATTTGTGCTTTAAAAGTTATTTCTTTTAATAATTAAATTTACTATAGACGTTTTGAATATCGAAATCAAATTAAAAAATAATCTAATTAATTGGATATATATAACAATAATAAGTTACTTATGTCATAACATGCTCCCTTATATAATAAGTATAATAGTTTTATACGTATTGAATAAAGTTTACTGAAAGTCTAACAACATTAAGAAAATATCAATCATTTTTAAAATTAACTTAATTAAAAATAATAATATTATTATTTTTAGCTTATGAATTTTAATTAGATATTTAATTAATATAATTCATTAATTAATAGAATATAATCATAGTAATATATAATTGATGCAATTATTCACGTGTATTAGTTTTAAAACAAGTAATATACAGTTAACATATATACATACACATTGTATATTATTCTTTAGTTATCAGTAATTATTAGAATAAATTATTTTAATTAATACTAATTCAATTTATATTTTATCTATTTATTTTTATGATAATATGTACTTAAATTTATTATTACTAACAAATTTTTTTTATATGATATTTTAGTTAATATAATTTTAATGTATATAGAATAAAAATTATGAGTAAATAATAATAACACGCATACAAGTAGTTGCACTATGTTTTTTGTATTCAACCAAACAACATAAAGTTTTTATGATTTTTAATTTTTTATAATAATCAATTCCAGAAGTTCAACAACAAAATATAATAAATATTAATTACATTAATTATACATTTTAACAAACAACGAAAAGTACATATACATAGTGTGTGTAAGAAAACTGATATTTTATATGTGCTGAAAACAATGACATTCCATGTAGTCTTAGAAAATCATTTTAAATATTTATTTTTTCTACACCAAAGCAGTATGCATATTATTCAAAAAGTAAAAATAAGAGTAGAAAATGATTAAAAAAATATATATATAAATTGAGCTTGA